CCTCTGCGCAGTAGCGACGGAACACCTTCAATTAAGGGGGGGGGGGCACTGCCGACTTTTGGTCCCATTCTTTCCATGCAACGCCCATAGGTCTAATGTTAAAATGCCAAAATCAAAGGGGGGCACGGTGCCCGGGTGTCCTCCCCGTTCCGCCGTCTATGCCTCTGCGTTCCAAGACAACCTGTTAAAGGGATCCTCCTTCCTCCTTCAAAAGTTCATGAATTGGCATAAAAGTGATGTCTCGTGGTTCAGTTAGATTAAAAATAAATATCGACCAAAGTTCACCGAAAAATATGAACCGCTTTGTTTTATATAAGGCTCTTACTTTTTATATTTGCGGGGCATTCGCTGTTCATATATGACGTCATTTGGAAGCAATAATTTGGTATCTTAACCCGCGCCCCAGTGGCGGTCTCAGCCAACTTCGTCCTAGTGGGGGTGGGGGGGGGACATGTTACCATTTTTGTCATTTTTCATCTTCGAGCAATATTGGGGTTACTGGAGGTCATCAAAGGTCAAAATTTGCCAAATGTCATTATATTTTTTCAGAAAACATGCAGTTATCTCAGGAACTATGATAGCTAGAAAAATGCATGGAAAAGCAATCGATAGCTTTTGAACTCTTCTTTTGATAAGTTCATCATCACAACTGACCTCTGGTCAACGGGGACCATCCCACCTTAACATTAGTTTTGAGTTGAGATAGCCAAGTTTGCGGCCAGGCTCAGAAACCACCATTTATCCTGGTCGCAACCCCCGCAGCTTTATGGTGTTCAAGAAATTTCTTCCCTTTACTTGCAGGGTGGGACCAGCTTAGTCCCTATCTCTTAACCATTAGCGGTTTGTTGATGACGTCAGCAGTCATTTCAACGCCCGCCATTCCTTGAACCCGAGTTTTGCTGACCTTGAGCTCCCTTTTTTATCAACGTGAAATCCGTCGTCGGCGCTCAAGGCCCTGTCGGCGCTGAGAAAGCCTATTGCTTTTCATTTTAATTTGAATATTAGAAGATACCCACCACTGGAACTTGGACTGATATTATACCAAGGCCGAAGATGATCAAGCTGCCTGCTATATCTGGAGCTTGGTGTTCAACTTCAACATGGAATGAAAAACAAAATATCAAAGCAAACTGGATATGGTACTGCAAGTTTAAGTCCAAAGAAATTTGAAGAGCTGACAATTGACATTAATTCTTTTCCCGCAAGGTTTCCATAGGAGATCACACCATGAAGAAATATTTTTGATGTTAAAGGGACCATCCCACCTTAACATTAGTTTTGAGTTGAGATAGCCAAGTTTGCGGCCAGGATCAGAAACCACCATTTATCCTGGTCGCAACCCCCGCAGCTTTATGGTGTTCAAGAAATTTCTTCCCTTTACTTGCAGGGTGGGACCAGCTGAGTAGTAAAGTAATCTTGGGACCAGCTTAGTCCCTATCTCTTAACCATTAGCGGTTTTTTGATGACGTCAGCAGTCATTTCAACGCCCGCCATTCCTTGAACCCGAGTTTTGCTGACCTTGAGCTCCCTTTTTTATCAACGTGAAATCCGTCGTCGGCGCTGAGGAAGCCTATTGCTTTTCATTTTAATTTGAATATTAGAAGATACCCACCACTGGAACTTGGACTGATATTATACCAAGGCCGAAGATGCTCAAGCTGCCTGCTGTATCTGGAGCTTGGTGTTCAACTTCAACATGGAATAAAAAACAAAATATCAAAGCAAACTAGATATGGTACTGCAAGTTAAAGTCCAAAGAAATTTGAAGAGCTGACAATTGACATTAATTCTTTTCCTGCAAGGTTTCCATATGGAGATCACAGTCACACCATGAAGAAATATTTTTGATGTTAACAGTTGAAAGGGGATTTATCTTCCAGTTTTGACGAAAGACGCTGCTGACTGTCTTTGGAAAAGGATGTCGGCATGAGGTGCAATTGTGCTTGTGAAGTGGTTATAACTGGTCTTTTCACAGTATTAAATTAAATGTGCCATTGCAGCCAAGTGTGTTATCATGTAAGGTAAAATCAAAACTACAATGTTGGTTTTACGAGCATTGAGAAGGCTGGTAGGTAACACCTGCCTGTGCTCGTAAATCACGCTGCCAGAGTATTCTAAATTAATTTTATCATACACTTTTGTTGTCCAGAATGGTTGCACTATTGTTTGGTATCATATTATTCCATGTAAATATGGTAGTGTAAAGTCCGACCAACATGTTACCGGATTTGAAGCTGTTACGTTACCTAAGTACCTGTTTTTTACTGGCGTGGTGAATGTCACCTGGATTTTGTTTTGAGGTGCAGACCTAGTAACTCTGACTACATGGGTTTGAAGCTATTATCTATTCTGTTTTTACTGGCCTGGTGAATGGCGACTGATGTTGTCCGTGGATGGCACTGAAACAAATTTTGAGTGTTTTGTACAGTGTTTTAATACAATGCTGAGGGCTGAAAGTTGTCTTGTTTAGAGTGGTGAAAGTTCAGGATATGCCAGCCACCATGGTGGGTCAGAGTTAAATGTGTTGCAGTCAGTTCGGCTTCGGCAAGCACACGGATGGGCATACGCATCAAGACCTGCTCTGCCATACTTTCAGCCAATTTTACCTAGGTAGGTCTTTTCTTTTTTCTGCCAAAAGCTATGACATTGTGAATTTCAGCACTGTGGCCTGTGTGTAGCTTTCAGGAAAGCAATTCTAAATAAAGCTCTGATAAAGTGCAAAATCAGCAATGCAGCCCTCTATTACATTTTCTACAACATCTTACTTGTTCCTTGCATGGAAAGAAAAATGCAATGTTATGAATTCGTTTATTCACATAATTTGACAAGCATGCAGTTACCTGCTACTATCACTGCACAAAACAGAGCAGAAAACATCAGTTGATCAAACACAAGACATAACAGAAGTTTACAACATAGGGCTGCCGAACCTGCTTCCTCCCACCACAGTTGATGCCATTTCCTAGCCTGGCTTGATGTGAGCACTGAATAGCTGCTTTGTCTAATTACAGCTCACTACCATTCAACTTAAACTACTCTCTTTAAAGTAAGAGTGAGAGCGTTCAGTGTTCATAGCAGCTCGACAGACGACAGACAACAAACATCTTGACAAACCAACCAGTATTTGATTTGGCTAATGATTTATGTGCTTGTTGTATCATGGCCAAACTACTTTAACAGCAATAATCCCTGTTTCATCTTGATCTTGCTTTTATTTCCATTTGAACTCAGATCTTGAAACAATCATTTGAAGTGATATCAGATACTGGCTTCTGTTTCTCTTGAAAGCAAGTTAAAACAACAATGATAAACTAAGGCAGGAGATGTGAGTTGTGGCAGTAGATTTTTGATTCAACATATGTCAACCTTATATTGCTTGAGACCTCTGTGACAGACAAACAAATATTTATAGTTTTTTGATAGTTTGGATTCTTGGCTTGATTTAGCAGATCAGCTGTGAACCTTGACTTTGAAATCACATAAATGTCATGGTACCCGAACGAATCCTCGCATGACATCTCTTCGTAGCACAATTTTTGGTCCGCATTTCTTCGTCTACAAATCTTCGTCGGTGCATTTATTCGTCCCTCAATGCTTACTCTTGCACATATTTGCGTTGAAGAAGAAATGCGAGCCGATTTTCATATACCCTGGTGCGAGACAAAGTAATGCGATAGGTACGAATAAATGCCCTGACGAAGATTTGCAGACGAAGAATTGCGATACGAAGAAATGCCATAAGAATTGTCCTGGAATCCTTTATTGGCCATCATATATTGACCTTGATAAGATAAACGCATCATTCGCGCAATATTTGTCGCACTTTGATACCAAACTATTGCTTCCAAATGCTGACGTAAAGAAAACCTTTATGTGACGTCATAGAAACAGCGGATTTCCCAAAAAGTAAACAAAAATAAAAGTCTTATATCTCGAAAACGGGTGAATATTTTCCGGTAAAATTTGGTAGATGTTCATTTTCGCTCTTTGTGATTCACGCTACATCACTTTTATGCCAATTCATTAACTTTTTTGAAGGTGGGAGGGTCCCTTTAAGCCTCCATAGGTCAAATATTGTGAAAATAGCTGTTTTTGGATAAAAGTTTTATCACGAATAACTTTTGAACCAGCAAAGAATAACTTTGAACCAGCAAAGATGAAGAATTGGCAATGGCACTATCGTGTTTCTCTCCCTCAGTCGCTTCGAAACATATACATTTTTTACCTGGAAAAGTCAAGGTCAAATTTTGACCTCAGTTCAAGCCTCAAGGTCACGTGGTGACCCAAATAGGTCATGTTGCATGTCATTCGATGCGTCTCGACAAGACAAACACAATTTAAGCCATCCCCACTCCCAGTGTTCTATCTCTTTCCAATCGAGAGTTATTGGCAAAAATCTGTTTGTAGCCTCAAATGACCTCGGATGACCTTTCTAGAGGCTATCAGCAAGGTAGGGGCGGGGCAAAGCGGACTTTGCAGAAAGGAGGGCTGCTAATTACGAATAGATAAGCTGCTTCAACTTGAACAACAAACGTTATTGGTATTGAAATGTATCGTCATGCGCTCATCTCGGCCACTTTTCGGTTACATGAGTTACCAAAAAATGTAATTAGGTAAATGTTTGTCTATGAATGTCCTTTGTTTACCAACCAGGGCCTCGTTTCATAAAGCGAGTCCGTTAACTTACGCCGGTTTTAGGTCTTGTATTGCAAGTGCATGTGAAGCGATGACGATAGATTGAATCATTGAATTTATTTATTTTGCAAGCAAGAACAGAAGGGAGAGGGGAAATAAATTCATCGCTTCACATGCGCTTGCAATACAAGACCAAAAACCGGCGTAAGTTACGGACTCGCTTTATGAAACGAGGCACAGGTGGGAAGATTACAAGCTAAACATCTTGGTCTAAACCCTGTCACCATTAAATACTCCAGCCGTACACACATACACTCACTGACTTCTAACTAACTGGTTTATGTGTTTATTTGTTTGGTTTACAGAAGCTGGAAGGCATCGAAGACCATGGAAGGAAGTTCGGAGAAACTCAGGTGTACCGCATTGAAGAGGGTGGCAAAACGTACCGCGTGGCAATGGAGGAGGCCACCCCGATCCGAACGGCCGCGCACGCCGTCGATGATGCCACTGCGAAATTCGAAGCAGCGGAGTTTGAAGAGTTCGCCAAACGTTTTATGAGTCAGCTGGAGGCCATTCTGGCCACGAAGCAGGCCGTCGGAAACCAGATCAAGCTAGTTCCCATCTACGACGTCAATGAAGTTCGCAGTAAGGTGCTTGAGTGCCTAAAGGAGCTGGAAAAAGAAGAGGCCGAGGAGGCGGCCCGCGCGTCTGAGCAGAGCGAGACACGCTCTCGGGCGAGCGCCGACTCACCAACCCCCTAGAGCATCAGTGAGGTGGAGTCTAGGGAAACTGGGCCGAGCGTGACACGCCCAGCGCGAGCGCCGACCGCGGACTCACCAGCCCCCGAGAAGCGTCGATCAGACGAAGTCTACGGACGCTGCGAGTAGCTGATGACAGCCACTACCGTGGCTCCAAAACTGCGTTCGTAAAGTAGCTTGGGGGAAGTGATGTTGTGCTTGATAAAAAATTACTTGTGATTCGCATGCTTAAAATTGTCAATGAGCTTCGTTTGACGTATTTGCTTCGAATAAATTGAATGATTTTCTCCGCCATTCAATGGTTATGCGCGCATTTTGCGCGTTATTGTCCAGTACCCAGAACGCGTTGAAAAGTTGAAGTATTTCAAGTCGTCAGGAGCCGTAAAGTAATCTTCAGTCGTCAGCGCGTGATTCGGCGCCCAACAGCCACCGAAGAATCAGCTGCCTGCGATTCATCGCGCTTCCGGCGCTGAACCGCCCCATGTTAAATTCAGCGCGTACTCTACCAGTGGACGGCGGCCTTTAGTTGTTGACCAATCTTAGAGGTAATTTCCGGATATAGTTCACAAGTGACACTTCATCTTAGGTATTTGGTATTTGTATTTGTATTTAGTACCATTGTATTTGGCTGTCATTGTTACCATTTAGCTGCTGATAGAAAAAAACGAGTGATGTCGATATACCTACCTAGAGTTGGAAATCGTTGTGTTGAAATTGTGCATGTGCGCAGCGCGACTATAATCAGCATCTTTAATAGAAATGTCTTTTGCAAATAAGCACGCTGGTGCCTGCATGACGGGTAAAAGCATTTTCGTATTCTTGTGAAACAAACTAACCGATAGGGAGCCGAAAGCCAAGACTGCTATAATAGAAGGATATTCGAATTTTTAAAAGCTTCGGGTGAACTTCAATGAACGTGAGATGTGTTTCACGGAGGCCAACTCGCTTGAACGTCAGATGGATCTGACGTCAGCGGACCCACCTGAATGTAAGGCACGCGGCGGTGGCGGCGTCGGGCCGGTCGAGCCGCGGGGAGAGGAGGCGCGCCATGTGGCCGGGCGGCGGCGGGTCGGCCGGCCCCAGACGCACCAGGCCGCCGCCGGGCCGGCCGGTCGTGTGGTCGGTGGCCGGGATGCCATCCGCGGCCGCGGCAACCACCCGCTCCCAGAGGCCGCGGTCGCCCTCGACACCGGCCCAGCCGCACGTGTCCACCTGAACACAAATTGGAGACGTCGTATGCTGTGAAATACTGTGGGACCGCCGCTATAATCGGAATGCGAGGGCGAAATCAGCACGGTAAACGGACGGATATCGAGAAAATGATGGTTACATATAGGGTTGACAGTCTACTCTGTTGTGCATATTAATGTACGAGGCGTGCACGCTAATAGCAATGATTGACATTTTGAATTGATTTGGTGTGAATCATGTGAATATATGCTGATAATGTGTGACAGAAATTGTGAATGATTGTTCTTTAAGATACTCAAATATAATTGACAGCATATTGCACCTATTCACATACACATTAACCATCGACATGCTGAATGCGTTTGGACATGCCACTCGTGCTGGTGAGGCAACACATCTGAGCTGTTCGGCCGGTCACACAGCTGCGAGTCAGCTGCAGTACTCGTAACTGTCCGACCCGCACAGGGCGACTCAGGGCGACTCAGCGCGACTCAGGGCCCAGTGCACAGGACACCACAGAGCGGTCTGCAGCTCACCTCGAACGTGCAGCCCGAAGACCAGGGCGCCGCCGTCTGCGGGGCCGCCGGACAAATGCCGCTCTCCAGCGAGACGTCATCGACGGCGATGTCGCCGAGCCGCTCGGTGCCCAGCTCCGCCTCCAGCGCCAGCTGAGACGCAGGTCAGTGCCGGTCAGCCGGAGGGTCACAGGTCAGGGCCGGTCAGCCGGAGGGTCACAGGTCACAGTAGGTCAGGTCAGTGGGTCTCAGGTCAGAACAGGTTAATGGGTCAAAAGACAAGATACATTAGCCGGGGATCACAGGTCAGGACAGATCAGCCGATGCACGGTGGCCATAGGTCACTGCGGGTCAGTCGAAGGGTCATAGGTCATGGTATCGGGTCACTTATCGGGGAAGGTCAGGGGTCACAGGTCAGGGCAGGTAAGCGGCCAGTTACAGCTCAGAGCAGGTCAGCGGGGGTCACAGGTCAGATGAGGTCAGTCAGGTGTCACGAGTCAAGTATCGCAAGTCAGCGGGCCACAAGTCAGGGCAAGTCAGCGGGTCGCAGGTCATGGCAGGTCAGCGGGGTGTCACACAGCAGAAGAGGTCAAAAGGATGTCGCAGCCTTCACTGTCGTAACAGGCCTCCCGACCTCCTCCACCAAGACAACCCAGTGATAAGTTTTAAACATCTCTCTCCTCCTGCCCCGTACTGTCCATCGACCCACCCCGCCCGCACTCTGCCTCCCCTCTTCTCCGCCCCTGCTCACCCTGAAGGTGCCGGCCTCTGCCGAGACAGTGACCAGTCCCTGGTGCCACTGCTGACCAGCCGGCCCGGAGAGCCGCCACAGCTCCTGCCGCCGGTCGCCAGCCAGCAGCAGGACGCGCAGCGTGCCCACGCCCGGTCCGAACAGGTACAGCCAGAAACGGAAACAGCGCGGCTGGCCGGCGGACAGCTGGGGGCTCAGCAGGCGCGCCCGGTCGCCCGGCCGGCGCGGGAACGCCGAGCTGGCGAACATGTAGCCGCCCGAGGTGCTGCCGAACAGCTCGCTGCCGTGGTCCTGTCGGTGACATGGATAGGGTGTGTGGGGTCAGGGGTTCAGTGGGCCGCCGTGGCGGGAGTGGACCAGCGGTATTCACAGACCGGAGCAGCGAGGACGGGAGCTGGAGGTCGTGTCTTGAGGGAAAGTTCACCGGAAAATTGAGACAGTGCTGCTGATCAAAGTAATGACAGCGACCACTAATGCTGTCGTTGATCTTGAGGGTGCAAACCTAAGCCCTCACCTCCTCGGGCCATTATCCCCACTGAACACCGCTCGGGACACACTATTCCGACAGACTCACCCCCTGTGTCCATCGTGACTCACATATTACTCCTCTTCTGTCTTACCAGACTATCTGCCCCCACTCGATTCACCTTATCTGACCCCACTGACTCACCGCCCTCGGGCCGGTGTCGCGGCTGAGGCTGCCGCGGCTCAGCTCCCACTGAAAGTCGTCGCTGTCGTCCTGGGTCCAGCCGCACGCGCCGCCGTCGAAGGTGCAGTGTCCCAGACACCCGTCCGGGGCCAGACGTACCGAGTCGACAGCGATGTGGCCGCGGTAGTCGGGACTGCACGAGCCAACACGACGTGACCGGCACGGGATCGCCTCGAACACAATCTGCCCGCGGGAGATAGAAGACGTCATCGCTGCCACAATTCAACCCCTTGTAGCCCGATTTTGCATTCGTTTCCTAAACGACGATATTTTATTAGCATGAATTATGAATAGCTTGCACTTCCAACAGTCAAAAGCGAAATTTTAAATATGATCCCGTCATTTACGGAGATATGTAAATACATGATGAGTGGAAGTGAAAATTTGCGCTTATCATTGCACCATGTGTTCAGTCACCACTCTCAACGTTTTCCCCTTCTCACCGTATGTCTACCGGGGTAGGTGTAGATCATCTCAGCCGAGCTCCAGGATCCAGCCACGTCAGCGGAGCTGTGAGCCAGCACCGTGTCCCCGCTGTGATCCACCGGGTACCCGAGCAGCTCGGCGTCACTCACCGGGTGCAGCAGGGCCCGCAGCTCACCGGCGCTCAGCCCCTCGCGGTGGTAGGCGAACCTGGCGGGTAGGCAGGGTATAGTCGACTACAGAATGATGTTCCACTTTTCACAGGCAATTGCTTGCCTGGAGTGGTAGGCTGTGCCGCATCACACGGGCTGAGCTCACAAATTATAGCTTTGTCCCAATGCTTACAAAATACAATCGACACGCTTAATTGCGTGATAAACGGCACAATTCTTAGCGCTTCGGTCAACTGATAGCTTCTGAGGAGTGGAACATCATTCTGTAGTCGACTACATATACATAAACACTACACCACACCACATAGCGGTGCATTTCAACAGCGTAGGGACCGGCGGTCGCTTTACTAGCATCTAGGGCAGACCAGGCCGGCTGACATTTCCCTATAACTGACGGGTAAACATGAACCATGAAATCGTCAATAAAAGTAAACAAGGCACCTGCTGAATATAAAAAAGCACCGTGCACCGTTCATGCCTTGAACAGAGCTCCCAAATGTTAGGTGTAATACACAATGCAATCCAACAAAATGACATACGAAGGAAGAATGGCTTAGGGAGTTTTACGAGTATGCAGGGGTGTCGATTTTTCAAAATGGTTGGGGGTGCTCAACCCCTGCACCGGGTGAAAGATTGCAGCTTTGCCATGGGGCACAACCGTGCAAGGCATGGTTGGGTATCCCCATAAGGTACCTACTGATAATCACGGGATTTCCCCCCCCCCCATCAGGTTCAGGGGCCCATCGGGTTATTCGGGCCTGAGGGGCCCTGCGGCGCCAATTGGCCGCTGAGGGTCCACGTTGGCTATATTTAGACTCAGAAGGGCCCCACAGGGCTCGTAAGAACACCTCATGGGCCCACAAGTACCAACATTAAGATATCCATAAGGGCCCCAAGCCAGCCTCTGAGGGCCACTTGCCGGCCTCTGGGGGGTCTTAACCGGCCTATAGGGGGCCAGGTCTAGGAGCTGCACACCCGCCTATAATGGCCCCACACCCATTTCTCTGAGGGCCCATATAACGGCGACTGTAAGGGCCCTCACCGGCGCCCCTGAGCGCCACACCGGCGTCCCTGAGGGCCCCACACCCCTAACTCTGAGGCCCTACACCAATGCCTTTAAAAACCCTACATGGGCGGTTCTGAGGGCCATTGTCAGTTACCAGCGACCCTGACGGCTCACACAGGTGACTCGGAGGGTCCCAACGGCGTCTGAGCGCACCATGCCAGTCTCTGAGAACCCCACAAGGCTCCTGAAGGCACCGGTGACCTCTTGATATCTTTTTGTCGGCCTATGAAGGGTCCGTTCCGTAACAGCAGTTCTGAGGGCCCCACGCGCGCCTGTGATGGCCCTAAACCAGTGTCTCTGAGAGCCCCCACAACCAAATGAAGAGATGTGAGGTACTGATAATCCTGTGAGGGCCGTCACCGGCGACTGCGAAGCCCCCACACCGGCGCCTCCAGTCCGAGGGCCCCACATTGCCATATCTGAGGGCCCCACACTAGTGCCTCTTAAGGCCCTATATCGGCGGCTCTGAGGGCCCAGCATCGTAGCTTCTGAAGGCCCCACTAGTGCGCATGTGACGGGCCGGCCACCCTGCCACCGGTGACATTTGAAGGCCCCACACCGGCGACTCTGAGGGCCCCATCGGCGTCTGAGTCCGTTCCGGTCTCTAAAGACGACCCCACAGGGTTTCTGAAGGTACCACCGGCCTCTGAGGCCCTTTGCCGGCCTCTGAGGGCCCGTCGCCGGTCTCTGGAGCCCCCTGCCGGCTTGTAAAGGGTACGCACCAGCAGCTCTAAGAGTCCGACACCCGTGTACGACGGACCCACACAAGTGTCTTTGCAATTTAACGTCTTTTCGCCCTTCTTCCTAAAACTAACTTTTCTTTTCTTTACATCTTTATTTCATGCCTTGTAAATTGGGTAATTGTTTTATTTTTTGTAGTGAAAGACTGCAGAACAATTATTTTCCTCAAGCAGAGTTAGTGGGAGTTATTGAGGGACAAAATCATTGGGGGTGCCCGGAAAACCATTGGGGGTGCTCATTTGAGCATTGGGGGTGCTGCAGCACCCCCAAAGGTATACAAATCGACACCCATGCGAGTATGTAATACAAATTTCAGTGCTCCGTTGCGTCCATTCGAATGCTAACCGACATAATTTTGTTCTAGAGACGTCTTCGATGTGCCATACCATATACGTGGCATCGATCAGACGTTTACAGGTAGCTAACGATAGACAATCAAGTTTGCAAACAGAGAGGCTGGATTAGACACAACCAATGGCAGCGGGCAGCTAACAGATATAGGCATATCTTAGCAAGTCGTCAGTGGAAGTGCATTCATGACTCCTGATAGCACATGCACATGTCGAAGTGCGCTGCAAGATAATGTTATAGCATTAAGGTAACTGAGCTGACAACTGTCCTCCTCGGCTGTGATATTGGCCTCTTCAGCTCGCAGTTCATGACGTCTGGGGTGCTGCAAATGCCAAATTTGAAACGTCCCGGGAGGATGCAGTGCGGCGTCGAGCAGGCTTTATTTGTTCTGCGGTCTCCGGGGAACCCCTCACGAAGTCTCTGCGCGGGGGGAGGCCACCCGCGGCTGCTGATGACTCACTGGACACACTGGCCGGCGGGCGGGGTGCGCGGCTGCAGACCACTCTCCAGCATAGCCGATTCGCTGTTCACTCGCAACGCGTCATCGTCCGGAAGCTCAGACGTCTCGAAAAACACGTAGCCACCTGAAACGATAAGCCAAATGTCGAGCATGGCTGGAGCAATGTCCGCTATCTACACGTTTAGTGATTATGCTCGTAAGCAATACCTATGCATTATGCAATATGCATGTTTTCGCTTACGTTCTGAAATATTTCTTTTTTTTTTCTTTTGACACGAGGCCGAGCTATGGACAATTGCTATGTTAGTCGATTGTTAAAAAGTGATGGCTAGGCTTGTTTTGTAAACTTTCTTACCTGCCTCAACCCTGGACGAATGCAAATATTGCTTAGCATAACTACTGCATGCACCCGAATGATTGACTCAATTAATCATTACAATAATAATCATGTGCAATGGGGATTCATCGATAGTTCTTTCTTCCGCTCCGCATCTGTTTTCCCCTCACCGTCCTGCGAGCCGGTGGCGTCTGTTGGAGGTCCGCCCAGCCAGTTGCTCGACCTTCCCGTGGAGGCCTGCCACCGGAGCACGGTGATGTTGGAGTTGGAGTAATCACACAGCGACACACCCCGGTCGCCCGAACCGAAATCGCACTCCAACACTCCTGTTGGTAAAGAGAAAGGTCAAATTGAGCGTGATTTGGCTAAAACATCACTCATCCGAAGCATTAACGTTTACCGTCTGGTCGTGGGTTTTCGTATATTGGAGAGTTCATATAAATAACAGTTTCCTACCGACGTACGAAGTCCCTTCCTCCCTTTGCCTTGAACTGTCTGTTGCGATTCTCACCAAAGACCAAAGTGCACGTTATGTAATCGTCAGCGGAAACACGTCAGCGGCCACACGTAGGACACACGTCAGGGGACACAGGTCAGCGGACACACGTCGGACACACGTCAGCGGTGAGCGGACACGTCACACGTCGGACACACGCGGACACAAGTCAGCGGACACACGTCAACGGACACACGTCAGCGGACAAACGTCAGCGGACACGAATCAGCGGACGCATGTCAGCGAACATGCGCAGACACACGTCAGCAGAAACACGTCAGTGGACACAGTCGCACGTCAGCGGACACATGTCAGCGGACACACGTCAGCGGACACACGTCAGCGGACACAGACACGCTCATCAGCGTACTATCAGACAGCCCATAGACCAATGAAGGCCAGCGCTCTTCGCTGGTTCTACGCTTGAAGAACCATGGTTGTGAAACTGTAACCATGCTGAGTTGCACATCGCCACCATACGTGCCTGGTTCTCGTCGAGGTCCTTCAAATTGTTGACTCTGAAAAAGACCAGAATAATATGTTAGACATGTGATCGTTTTTAAAATGAATCACAAACTGTTCATATAAATAAATATTTTGAAATCCAAAGGTAATGGCGAGTTATAAAACACTCATCAAATTACATAAAAACATGGACAATGACATTAACACTGAACAGCATAAAATCACATAGATGTCAAGGAGCTATCCGCAGTTGTACGCAATAGGTACACATATCGCACGATTATTTATATATTTGTGATTGTGATGCTTTAGTAAGTCATTAGCAGTGAATCGCCTATTGTTCGTCGCCACTCAGGAATAACGGTGAACTGTTTTTCATCGTCCATTAGCGTTTTTGCATAGCGAGGGAGTGACTAGTTTGAATGTCGTGCATTTTGTGCCACCCTAATGATGATCTGCATCTAAGGTTTACGGGCCCAAGCTGAAAGGGATGAGAGTCCCAGGGGTGGCGAGGCTCGCTACAGTTGTGGGATGAACCGGTCTCGGCACAGTTAGGCGTGCCCGGTCATGGGGACTTGTTTAACGGACTTCGGTTATAAATTCTGACATTGACGCAGTTCTCTTTTATCGGTCGGTATAAGGTCTGAGCCCGCATAACTGCATGTAAATACTTTGACCTCGGGAATCAGTGAATCTATTAATATCAGCGACTTTCTAAATTTGCAAAAAAAAAAAGTAGCATGCATACGATGAAGGCGAAGCATTTACTGACTGGTCAAATAAATACATGCAATGGTATACACTATGCATACATGTTGTGCATTGTGCAACAAACCTTTATCAATTTGTTCTCCTGTATATGAAGTATAAAATACTCCCAGCTCGCATATCACCTGATATATTTTTCTTACATTTCTGGTATTACCGCACGATAGCTGGCATCATTTTTTTTTTAACCTCGGTTCCCGCACCAGCGTCTGTAATTGTAGGTCAGGGTCGCTGCCGGTCCCCTCATCAGTCCTCGCCCCACCCGAGAGACTCACCACAATCAGACAAAGCCTCAAGTCCTCACGAGTCACGGCCCGTTCCATCTGTCATCGTCAGTCCTCAAAAGTCCCAGCTTATCGTCATTTGTCTATAAGGTCTCCCCAACATATACGCCGCCATCAGCCCTCACGTCCCGTCCTTAATGTCGTCATCAGTCCTCACGTCCCGTCCTTACTGTCGTCAGTCATCACGGCCGTCCTAACTGTCGTCAGTCCTCACGTCAGTCCTTAATGTCGTCAGTCCTTACGGCTCGTTCGTACTGTTCTCAGTCCTCACGACCTGTCCTCACTGTCCTTAGTCCTCACGACTTGTCCTTACTGTCGTTAGTTCTCACTCCTCACGAGTCACGGTCCGTCCATAGTCCTGCGACTCCAGACTCGTTCACTCACCACCACCTCCTCCGGGTCCTCCTCGCCGCCACCGGAGCCTTCCTCCAGGTTCAGCTGCTGCAGGGGGTCCTCCAGTGGGTCCTCCACGGCTCGCTCTCCCACCCCTGCACCTCCCGGTTCGGCAGTGTTCTGCAGGCTGTTACCACCCTGCACCGGCCGAGCTCGTACCAGCCGGGCCGACACCGGCGCGGGTAGCGGGTCCAGGAGGGCGGTGTCATGGTCTGACCTCTGAGCGGTGACCAGGTAGGGAGCGAGCCACACCAGCAGACAGACGAACGTCCAGTGGACCAGTGGACAGCGCCGACGGACTGGAAACCAGGCTGAAACGGACACCAAAGGGAAACAATTTAGTGCGTTGCCACATTGAGATAACTGAATTCAACGACACGTATCTCACACCTTGGCACCATATTTTCCCCTTTAAAGACACAAACATTTTTTTCATAGTGGCATGAAACCTTTTATCTTTTATCTTTTCATTATCTTATAATGCCTACACTTTTCCTAGACCTCGCGTTTCTTAAAAATTACCCATACCTAACTATTCTTTTCCACAATTTTAAGCTTTAATTTTTCTAGCTAAAAATTTTGTTTCCACTTATCTCTGTTCGGGATACCCGCCGCGTTGAGCTAAATCTCCCGTGCATAGTGGCGGATGACCCATTTCGCTCAATAAGCCGGACAATGGGCGAACAGTGAATTACGGTAAGCACAATGCGACAAGGTTAATTAATTACATCAGACACCTATGGTGTGCTATTTAGCCGCGATGAAAGGCATGCAAAATTTACTATTGAAAAACGCACCCGCTACTAATCAGGGGCTTGATCTTGCTTCCGGTATATTCGCTTTCAACTCAAGGATAATAGCCATTTTCAAAGACGGGCTATACGGCGAATGCACCTAATTTGACCAAATCTGCACCTAGTCTCTTTTACAGCAAATACCTTCATCTTATTAATTTATTTCAGTGTTTTAATCGATGATGCTCTCTGATAATATGACAAAGTATAGGCATATAAGCAATAAGTACAACCCTAGCTGATAGCCACTAAGAGACACAATGAACCTAATTTGACCAGCTCTGCACCTAATCTGACCAGATATGCACCAAATGTGTACCAGATGGCCGTCGTGAAAAGGGCTATACGGCACTCTCTAGCATGTCTGTACTCTGATCATGCATTCTAGCATGTTAGCATATCCTTTCAGCTTATGAAAATATCACAGATTCGTGCGGTTACCGACATGTCAACCATATTCTTTTTTAACTAAATTGTGTAAGCATCTATCAACATGGGAATTTTTTCATGTTAAGTTTTACGTGCTAAGTTTTCCAAAGTACCTAATCGACAGCAATTAATCGTGAAAATTGAACGAGGATCCCTAATGCTCTAACTGGCCTGGTCTCGTGGCCCGATGTTTTGAGGTTAGAGTCGGTATGAGGTAGAGTTTTTACGTATATGTGATCAGATATTTAACGTATATGTGATCAATGCTGAGTAATGCCATGCAATGTTTTAGTCATATTATGTAAAATGCGATAATAAAATATAACTGGAACGCTATGGCATGAGAATTGCCCGCTGTACAAATCTCATCGCCTGCTGATGATAAGCATGAGGCCAACTATTTGACCTACCCCAACGTGTTACTGCATACGTAATCATGACTTGAACGGCAGTTTTCACCGTGTCACCGTGGCAGATTTTAGTCTCTGCCGCTATTAACGAGGACGAAATGACGGGACGATGTCAGTCAGTGTGACACACAGTTTAGCACCTCCGCTCACATCGCGAAATCTGAAGGTTATAGGGGAAGCCAACCAAGCCATGTCCGATCTATATGTCTGTGCTTACGACTACGAGTATATTTATAGAACTAAACAAACTCCAGGCAATGGCTTTTTGTGATGGCAGACGATTGTATAAAATTAACAGGATATCCCAGCATTTATGAAAACACCAATCGGTACGTCTGTGATGTTATTGAGACCAACCAGTCACAAGAGCCAAATAAATACAACAAAATAAAATGTTTATTGTGCTGCCTGTGTTATTCATTTTCTAGGTGAATAGATATGTATAGAGCTTAATATGTAAAATAGATCATTCTATATTTATTCTATTATTTCTACCTGCCTGATACCATTCATTGCATTGATTATCACCGAGTAAGTGAGGCATATTCTAATAAAAAGCTCACACATTTCAGCAACTGCATTATGCATTTTCTTCTCACCCAGTCGTCTAGACACACTCCCCATTTTTAGTCACAACATAGTTATGCAATTTATGCGTGCAGAAAAAGCCGATTAAATTAAGTCTGTATGAGCTTTTGGCATGGTATGCGCTATACAGCTTTACGCATTACAAAGCTCGTCACCCTTTGCATTATCCAGTATTCATTTTGCATGTGCTGAGTGTTAGTGTTATCGCCGAATTACTGCATTATGCAATATGCATTTTTAATCATACACCACTTTTCGATATGGCTCCATAGTAGCCTTCACATAGTGAATACTCTCAGCCGTCTGGCGTTCCCATGGCAGTGTGACGTGACCAATTCCTGCCCCGTCGTCACTCGCGATACTGCCTCAATGCCTCATGCGGCCGATTAACCAAATATCTCAGCGTTGTCAGTTCAGATTCAGTTCCCAGCTCAGCGTTACGTGTTTCCAGCTCAAAGGTACGTGCTTCCTGTTCATGTTTACGTGTTCCCAGTTACGATTTACGTGTTCCCTGACCTTGGTAGACAGTAATGGCGCCGGCCCCATCGGTTAGTGAGCAAATGGTGCTCACTGCCGGACAAAGTACCGTAATAGTCGGCCCACCCAGCGGTGCCGGGAGGGGAGGCTACGCCGCTGCAGCCGGGGAGGGGGGGGGGAGTGTCAGCAGTCGCTTCCGGTCCCTCCTCCCGCCGCGCCGACGGCTCAGCTCATATCCGAGGTCACACACGCTGGACCCCGAGGATACAGGGGATCCTAATACAGGGGATCCTAATGGCGGAAAATATACCCCCCTCCCAAAAAAGGTGTCTCCTCATTTCTGATACTAGATTTTCATTTCAAACCATATTGTCTCAACGATGGGCGTCTTAGTTATCGAGATATTTCATTTTGGGAGTAGATCTTACCTAATATGTAGTGCGTCGTTCTTTGGAATGGTAGAAACTTAGACCAAGCTTTTCATATCGTGCTATTTAAGCAGTAGATACAAAAAAGGTCGATACATGTAACTCGGTTACTCTCCCCTCCCGTCAGCTGCGGCTGCAACGGCGTTACTGTCCTCCCCGGCCCTGCGGGGTGAGCCGGCTGTTGCAGCTATGCAACGTTTTCGAAGACATTACCGTATACCTATTTTACCGTATTTAACTGGTCAAATACCTTTTCCCCTTTAGCAATGGCAGGGATCTAAATTTTCAACAAAGCATTATACCTAATTTCATAATTTAGGCTGATGTTATATTTGTGCAAAAGCTGGACGATCGTGTTCCCTATATCCCTCGCCGGACCTATTGGTTTTCTACATACGCGCCGGCCGAGGGGGGGGGGCGGGTACGACCCCCCCCCTCGCCGTTTCGCCCCTGGTGGAGCTAGCGCGTGGCGGAAAAAACGAGCGTGTGCGCCGTTACGAGACGCAGAGATTGGTACCCGATTTTAAGGTCCTAGGTCAACCGGTGACCTCTGAGGTCAGGTCAAGTGCCCCAAGGTACGGTTCAGTTTTTGGTGAATAACTTCGCAAAAAACTGCCGCAGAGCGCCGATTTTGGCAGCATCGTGTTCGTCTCGCTCAGGCGCGTCGAATGGTATACTTTTTGTCCGGGTCAGGTCAACATGGGGTGTTGACCTCAGGTCAAGGTCAGGTCAGCACCCCCAGGTCACGAAGCTGGTCGAAAGAGGTCATGTCGCATATCATTCGATTCGGCAGGTCTTCCTGAGTCCATTGGTGGCTTTCCCGACTCGCTAGCTCAATTTGATCAAGAGTTATTGACGAAAAACTAATATGACCTTGATGACGTCATAAATGACGTCACGCAAGGTCAACATTGCAAAAGTGACGCATCTAACCTTGCAAGGAGTGCATCAAATCACGATTCTGTGTGCTTGAGATAGTTGGAGATCGTTCCCGGCGCCAGAATAGCAGTTTTCATTTTTCCCCATTGACTTATAATGGTGAGGTCACGAAAATGACCTGACCTCATATGACCTTTAGGAAAAATCCGAGATATACAAGTTGTGGGACTCATAATGGATACTAGATCCTGCAAGTTTCATTTCCCTGTGACATCTCCTCTGGCAGTGAGGGCGTTGCGAAGTTGCGACATCTGAAGACCGTGCAGAGGTTCACTTATGACGTCATAGGTCAGTGACCTGACCTGACCCAAAAATGCGGTTGGTGTCAAAAGATTCGGTTTGGATCAAAGGTCAGGTATGCCAAGTTTCAGCTCTCTATCGCCAGCGTGTTCGGAGCTATCGCGAAAAAACCCTATGGGGGGGCGGCACCCGCCCCCCCCCCTCGGCCGGCGAGGGATATAATAACAAGCCACTTCACCCTCCGGTGAAGTCACTTTATCCTCTGGCCATTGTTGCAATGTTAGATGAGATGGCCATTGTTAGATGACATGTTTCAACATTTTCTGCAAAACGTACACCTGTCACTGAATTTGGAGCACAAGTAATAACATCAAATGTTTGTGATAAAAGTACTTTGCATCTCGGTGCTGCGGTCATGTGCTGCACGATATTTTGAAATAATAAACATAATATGTTTTGGCAGGATGCAAGTTTTCGTTCAAAAAGCGACATTTTTACTTCAACAAGCTAGCAATAGGTTTGAAAGCAGTATAGACATCCGGATAGAAATGCAAGTGCGACAGTGGAATAAGAGCTAACGGCACCTCTAATAAAATTCGATGGTCTAATCTAGGCTGGTCTGGTCTGGTCTGACGTCAACTAACCGATGGATCAGTCCAATATCGACCGATCTTGTCTAATTTTGTAACTTGGTCTTGTCGATCGTATGTGGTCTGGCTGCACCGGTAGGCGAACTGGTCTGTTCTGGCGCCAGATGCAGATATAGTAGTCTGGTCCGGTCTGGCTAACGCCGACAAGTGACCTATGTAGGCAGTGGTCAACGCGAACGGTCAATTCACTGGTCACAGTAACGGATTACCTATTTGGTCGAAATGTAGTCTTCATCGCAGCTGGTCTGGTCTGGTGACAGCAGCAGGTGTCTGGCCTGGTCCAAGTCCTGCTGGTGCCTGGTCTGGTCTAATGACAGCTGAGCAGCTGGTCTGGTCTGGTTACAGCTGCGGTCTGATCTGGCCTTATGACAACAGCAGCTGGTCTGTCTGGTCTGATGACAGCGGCAGGTGACCTGGTCGCCGGCCAGTTCAGCAGTGAGGACAACAGTCTGTTCTAGTCTGGTCTGATGAGAGCGGCAGGTGGCACGGTATTTGGTCCCGCATGCAGCTGGTCTGGTCTGATGAGAGCGGCAGGTGTCTAGTCTGGTCTCATGAGAGCCGCAGGTGGCCTGATCAGGTCACTGGTCACAGCTGCAGTCCGGTCTGATGACAGCGGCAGGTGGCCACTAAAAACCTCCCTGTCTGGCCCGGTCCCATGTGCACGCGGTGATCAAAGCGGTCACTCAGGGATGACACCCCACCCCTCCCCTCCCAGTCCAACGGGCCAGACAGGTGGGGCAGGGTCACTATCAGTCCGGCCGCCCACACCCAGTATTAACCACTGTAGCGTTACTAATCAGTCATTTACCTCCACGGTACACGGTGTCAGAGGACAGCAGAAATAATAACATCCACATCATTTTGGCACCACAAAATGTAAATTAGCTTACTGTTTATTGTCATTGGTCGTTCCGTTTAATGACGCCATTAAATTTTCCCCGGATCATTTTTATTTGCGTTTATTACCGTATAATATTACGTCCACAAAAACGTCAGAGCTTCTGACAGAGATCCAGTCATCGAGACGTAAAGCGAGTGGATTAGATGGCCGACAGGTGAGAATTCCCCAGATCCAAAGACGTCTAAAACAAAGTTGTGCAAAGGAAAATGGATTAGATGATTGGGCCTGCTCGGATGTCACGCATGCATGCGATTGAGCAACGGAGCTCTTTCCATATCGACTACCGTGAAACTTTATCAACAACGATAGCCGTTAGCTATATTAATGAATACCTTTAAGTATATGTTTCGAAACAATGTGTGCTTTTATCGCAAATTGCGCCTTGGGGATACGTTCACTGTTCACTGTAAGATGTTCACTGTTCAGTGTTCTGTATTCCTATACAACACCGTTAAAAAGTTTTAAACTAATTTAAAAACTTCTCACTAAAAGTAATGCGATCCTTTTCCAAGCAGCAGCTCATCTGTGCTGACTGCTGACTGCCGACATGAATTGTCCTGCAATGGATCATGCTGCAGGAATGTGGGATGTGCGGCGGCCATCCCACCGGGTCCAGTGGGACTGGGGTGCCGCGGGGTATAAGCGGGGCTCACCGGGACAGGCCGGTCGCTGCTCTGCACCGCGCCGCCCCATCTGACACCCTCTCTCCCCCTCCCCCGCCCCCGACTGACCAGCCCAGCCCTCCCCATCGGTTCATGCTGTGCACCCCTCCCTGCGTGCCACTCCCTCTCTCTCCCCGTGACGCGGCCTCTGAGTCTGCGCGAGGTTGGAGTCAGTGGCAGGGGCTGCGGATAGGGGCAGACAGACCAATTCGATGAAATATACAACTGCAGTAACGAAATGAAGCGAACAAGCCATTCATACGGTATCTGGGTGATGTAAAAGTGAATAACCAACTATGATATCCGAAGGGACGTACTTTTGTTAAAATGTCCGATAACTCAGACTTTTTCAACAGAAAAAATACAATTCCAACGAATGGCGTTTTTAGCTATTAAAAACACAAACCTTCGGCTACCTGCATAGATATAAGAATGCTTTACTCGTCATTTGAAACGAGAGTAAGTTGCTACAGCCGTAATGAATCTACTCAAGTATTTGGCAGCAATTAAACAAAATATCTGGCTCTCACACTGTAAACGCCAAACGGGTCCATACACCAGCTAAACTGCATATGCAACAATAGAGTTTGTAAGCCTACGCAACAGCTTAGCAGTTCGACTAATAGTGTGACTGTTGAAAATATGGCGTCCATCGATAGGAAATAGCGACAATTCTCGTATGCTTGTAGATAGTTATTACAAATTCATGATTGGACAGCATGCCACAATGTTTGCTCATTTAATGCTTACGGTCCCGATGTGTCTGAATACTGTTGAAGTGGTCTTGTCATCGTCTGTGATGACATACTGATTGCTCATATCATGAATTGAACGCTCTTTGACTGAGCACCATCAGCTTACGCTTTTATATCAACCGGCCTCTCGATTAGGCATGCCATATATGGAAAGTTAAGAAGTGACAGTCTCATTATATAATGAAGCAATCGTAAATTGGCAGTGTCCGTGGCTAAACAAATATATCAACTGCAGGAGACGCTGTGGAATGTGGATCCTTCAAAGTTATGTGAAGAACATAGAACTTTTTTACATAAATTTAGCTTGAATGTTTGAATGGACGGATTGACAGAGCCGGAGCTCACGCTAAGCAGAGCTTGTTGCGTAAACCCTGACCCCTACCGTCCGATCACGCAATTCCGGGTAACGGGAGAATTTAGATACCAAAGTTTAACGTGCCCTTCAAAGCCGGACACGGCCTGTCCCACTCAACTGACTTCAACTGGCCGCGGCTGCTCCCACCAGCCGCAGACCATCCCCGTCAGGAGTCTCAAATATCGAGCGCCGGAGCGTCTCGAACCCGGGCTCTCACCACCGGGAGTCCAATGCTCTTCCAACTGAGCTAAGGGACGGCTAAATTTAAATGTTTTGCTAATTAAAATGAGCGATGTGTAAGTATAAAGCATTCCATGGCAGAACATCATGCTCAAATGTTTCTTGCGAAACCAAATGCTTAGATAAAGTAATTATACGACTATAAAGCAGCTATAGGTATATAAATCTAACTATATATACTGTATACAGTATAACTATGCAACTCTTATACATACTTACGTGTTTTCTCATATAATAGCTACTCTGTTAATCGCTTTTAGCCGTCTTTACGACAGATTATCTGGCGATTGGCGAATGCACCCAACTTGACCAAGCCTGACCAAAGCTCTTGTACCGGGTGGCCCAAAAAAAACGTTCCGAACTTTGGAGGCCTATATCTCAAATTCTAGTGCGAATAACGAGCCAAAATTTTCAACAAGTTTGCGTCACTTCTTTGCGCATTGGTATGCCAAATTATAACACTGTACCATCATTTTCAAGCCAGCAATCTTATGTTGGATTAAGTAAGACATTTTTGCTTTTTTTGCCGTTGTTGAACGGTAGTAATGATTGGCTTAGACGTACCATGTTAGAAAAAATAGAAAAAATAGAATACGTGAATGATACCAGCACGTGTGTTGTTATTTTTAATATTTTTGTCCCACTTATGTACCAAATATCCAAATACTAAGCCAAAATTGTGTTAATGGATGCCATTCGTTTCAACACAAGTTCTGTTTCGAGCAAAAGGAGTGACACGGTGCATGGGTTACAGCTGATCGCCCTTCTTTCAAGATCAAATAGTAAAACGACCGAATAAGGATAAAGGCTAGAGGGAATGTGTCACCCTGAGGCCTGAACCATCAATGAGACTATAGTGCCAGTAGCAGTCAATAGTCATGGCTGCAGGCCGTGGTGCCGAGATGGAAGTGGCCCGTTCACTGACATTTTTAGTAAACATCTGAGCAAAAAAGTGATTTTTACATGGCATGCTAGAAACACGAACCGTTTAAAAAGTAATCAACCGAATAACATAAATATCATACCATTTACTGAAAATATATGCCGCATTGACTATTGGAAGTTTCAAGGTTGTATCTTAATCACTTTCTGAGAAATATTGATTTAAAATTGGGAACGTTTTTTTCTGGGCCACCCGGTATGCAGCAAATATCTTCATAACATGAAGTTATTGCAATGTTTATTCGAAGATAGTGTCTGATAATTTGATAAAACAGATTCCTAACTATAAAAGCATTTAGTGCAACATAAGCTGAAAACTACTAAAAACAACAACAACTATAAACCTTAGTTTGACCAAATCGCACCAAATGTGACCAAATGTGCCGTCGTGAAAACGGTTTTATTCTAAGATAATGTAAGGCGCTTTTCTAACTAAGCATGTTTTGCTTTAGTGAAAATTACATTTTCATGAAACTGGTTAGTGGGTATCGTCTATCCGCAAGTTGAATTTTCGAAATCTGGCAACATATTCAATTATTCATCAAGTCTAAAAAAATACAGGCTTAAATTTTAAAACATATTCAAAATTCAAGATCATCTTAGGGCGCTTCGCGGAACTTAGGCATTAGATAAGCCTACATGACAGGCATAATAATTTTCATGATACCGTTTTTGCTGAGTGATTCAAGTCGCAATTAAAGGAATCATCATTTAAATAGTTACATTACAGCATGCCAATAATTAAATGTTAAGAAACGCCACGAAACTGCCTGAGAAATGAAATACCTCCTCAGTCCTCACTCCTCGACTCCACACAGTGCGTAATGCTGCTGTGCCGCCGCTCATGGGAGCAGTGCGGGTTAGCCTACCTTCAGTATGGAAACCGCCGCCGCGTCTCCTGCTTGTGACCACACACATTTTCTCTTCTGATTCCCGTCCTTTTCGATGTGCTGAATCTCCTGCTCTTGAAAGCTACTCTCTGCAGGCTTTGTTCAGGTCACGAGGTGTCTGGCAGTCCTGAGCGGGTCCAGCGGTTTCCAGCTCTCCTCCCGGCCTGAGATTAGACTGTCCCACAGACCGCGTCTCAGTTCCCTTCACGATTTACCGACAAGCCTCCGTGCCAGGCTCCGTTTGCCACGTTCATCAGGGTGCGTCACACTCGTCTCGGATGTCCGGGCGCTCCGTCCGTGCCCCGCAGCGCTCGGCAGCACGTCCCTACCCAGCGGCACCTGGCGCGCAGTCTGCGCGGACCGCGGCGGCATCAGCGAGGGATCGACACCGCTTTCACGGCCCAGTGAGCGCCACAGCAGACCGCATCCCGCGCAGCCACTGAGCTGGCACTGACGCAAACTGTCAGCTCTCGGGACGAGCTGCCTGCATCAGGGTCTCTAATGAGGATTTATCCGCCTAGAGGTACGCGTTATGCAAACAAAATGTGAAGTTGGATGCCAACAGCTGTTATTTGATTCGCTATGCAAAATCATCAAGCCTTCTCGCATTGTTATGGATTGGGAGTCGGCACGAATTTACAAGCTCATTACAAATTAATATAATTGAGAGTCTACAAAAGTTTGTGCAGTGTGCACCATTCAGAATTCAGAAACTGCAGCTCAATCGCCTAAAACCGGCAATCTTTTGGCTTGACATGGCTAACTAGGCCTCTCCATTATATTGTCTGCATTTTCAGCGCTCTTTTTCTACGGGTGGGCCACGATCTGCTGTGAAAATCTCAGAAGGGCCTCATGGGTCAATTTTTCGAGTTTTACATGTTTCCAGGCTAGTTTTTGGAGCTGAATTCGAATTTAGCAACCATATTTACATTTACGAAGTAGTTTTGGTGCCTTCGTAAGATGTTACGAAGCTGTCAGGTGACATCTACTACCAGTAGGTACCCGGCCGGACCCCTACGGGTTGACCTGACCTGACCTGACCCGACCTGGCCTAAATGCCTCAAGATATCATCTTTGATCAAAACTAACACGATATTCGTAATCAGCACCACGAAAAACTCCATAGCAGCCACACTTTACGATGTTCTAACTGGTCCCGATTTTCCCGACTCTTGGGTCATTGACCTGACCTGGAAGGTCAACATTCAACCGATGACCTAGGACCCTAAAATTGGGTATCATCGGCTTCCTCTCGTCACGGGCAACACCAGTAGCGGCGGAACACCTTCAATTAACCCGCGCGGGGCTGGGGTCTCCAGCCGAACGCGCGGGGCTGGGGGGGTAAACCCCCTGTTAGCCCCCCCCCCTGTTATCTCCCGAACTAATGATCCGATTTGGCCAAAATTCAAACGCCAATCGAAAGATCTCATCACGAACAACTAATAACATGTACTTAATTTAACCCTCGCATGTGTGCGGCGTTTGCCAGCTTCTAATGTGTAGGGGGGGGGGGGTCGGTTGGACCCCCCCCTTGCCGTTTGGCCCCTGATCGAGCTAGAGCTTCGCGGAAAACGAGCGTGTTGCCCGTGACGAGAGGAAGCCGATGATACCCAATTTTAAGGTCCTAGGTCATTGGTTGACCTTCCAGGTCAGGTCAATGACCCAAAGTCGGGAAAATCGGGACCTGTTAGAAAGTCGTATAATGTGGCTGCTAAGGGTTTTTTTTTTCGGGGTGCTGATCACGAATATCGTGTTAGTTTTGATCACAGATGATGTCTTGAAGCATTTAGACCAGGTCGGGTCAGGTCAGGTCAGGTCAACCAGTAGGCGTCGTGACGGGTATTCGTAGTACGTGTCAACCGCCTCTGACAGCTTCGTAACATGTTACGAAGTCACCAAAACTACTTCGTAAATGTTCAAATGGTTGCTAAATTCGAATTCAGCTCCAAAAACTAGCCTAGAAACATGTAAAACTCGATAAAGTGACTCGAGGTCACCCGAGGCCACCAAAGGTCAATGACCTGACCTGACCTTCAGGTGACCTTAACACACGGGAGTAACATCAAATCACATGTTTGAGCGTTTGAAACCACGAAAAGCTTGCAAACACGCGGCTAGTGCGAGCCGACATACGCGAAATCGCGATTCCGGCCAAACATGGTCTCGGAAAAGAGGTCACAGGTCAAAGGTCATTTGGGGCAGGGTCATGAAATTTTCAGGGTAGGTGTAAAATTGATCAATGCGAGGGTACTGAAAGTTTCGTCGCAATTGGCCGCTTTTTACGCGAGTTATTCGCGAAAAACCATGGGGGTCCATCCGACCCCCCCCCTACACATGCGAGGGTTAAAGTTTGAGGTCAAGGTCAAGGTCAGGTCAAGGGTACAAATTGCAAGTTTTTAAGTATCGGTCTTGCACCGTAGTTGCCGAAGAATGGAGTCATGGACTGAGACTGATTGCCCAAAACGTGTTCTTAGGGTACCAAGACAATATTCGTTGCATACAATATCATTCAGAGGTCAAGGTCAAGGTCAAGGCCAGGTCAGGTCAGGTCACCAAAAACAAACTATAGAAAAGGCATGTGCGACACATATTTTATGGGTCATTTTATACTCAATAGGCACACTCAATAGGTGATATGGACCACATCTGGATGAATTTCAGGTCGAGGTCAGGTCAAGGTCAGGTCAAGTGAGGTCAAATTTTGAAGTTGGTTGTTAAGGCCTAAAAAGGTGTCTAATTATCGGATGCAGTTTTTCACGGCAAATCGAATGGTGCTATTTTTGTTTTCGGACGAGTTCTAGAACTTCCAAAAAAATTATTTTTCAAAAACTTTGTCGTGACGTCATAAAATTTTGAATAACTCCCACATTTTTGAACAGATTCTTCTAAAAATTGGTATGTAGGTGCACATGGACCACTTCTCTGACATATATTCCGGTTTTTTTGATACGCACAAAATTTTGGATTATATAATTATTTTCCCAAAAAAGTCAGTTTTTTGAAAAAATGGGCCAAAATCAAAAATTAAAAAAAAAGAGATAGCCATTTGATAGACAAATTAGAATCACGTATAACCTTTTTGGATACGTCTTGATTCCCCTAAAAATGAAGATGTTAGCGGCGTTTGAAATTTTGCCGTTTTTGAGGCGAAAATGGCGAACATGACGTCACTAAAACGTTATTTTCTCAAAAAATTTCCAAAGGATTTTGCGAAACTATTCAGGGAACGTGTCAAATTGATGTAAGAAACGGTACAGAAAGTTTGGCGGCGCTGCGCGCCGCCGTTTTTGAGATATTTCAAAAATTCGCGAGGGGGTAAAATTTACCCCTCCAGCCCCGCGCGGGTTAAGGGGGGGGCACTGCCAAGTGCCAACTTTTGGTCCCATTCTTTCCATGCAACGCCCATAGGGCTAATTAATGTTAAAATGCCAGAATCAAAAAGGGCACGGTGCATGGCGCGGGAACTTCTTCCAGACTGGGGGGGGGGGGGGGCTGAACCATAATAGAGATCAACCTAGGGTAGGTACCCCCAAATCTAGTTTTCTCACCGGTTTTAGGCCACTTATTTTTCAGACCTTGGCCTTTTCAACAAAAAAAAAGAAATATTTGCAAAAAAGTCAGGTATTCCGTCTCAGCTGAGTGAAGAAACTACCGTTTTGGCAACCTGGAATAAAGGTTTTAATCTGCCAAATGAGTTGCCGAGCCATTGAAAGAGGTGGATTTTTCACTTAGGCCTTCTTTCTTTGTGACCCACAACCCCTAATTTGGGGAGGACAAGCTGCCCCAACGGTTCCTGACCTCATGAAAAGTTGTGGGCCCACGACCCCAGAGCTGCACAGTGATGCAAATGGGGTTCACGAGTGGCCATAAATACCAAAAAGTCAAGTTTACCAAACCTAGTAAATCGCGATATGGCCAACCAAAGAAATGTTTGGGGCATCTGAAATCACATAGCTTTCATGTTTTTGTCAAAACAGGCCTCGTGTATGATTGTCAGAAGTCGTGACATTTTCTATGTCGTAAAATGACTGTCTGATACTTGCAAGTTCAAACGCCGCCAGCGTGCGTTCATTTAATGCAAACTACAAACATTATACATGGCAATGATCCCTAAACCCTGCTGCTTCTCATGCTGGGTCACAAAAAAAGTGTATCGCTTTTGGTTTGATGGTGATCTAATCATCTGTCATCATGTTTCAATAACATTTTTTTAGTGAAAAATATTTGCTTTCGTTTCACCTACAGCAGTTATCACAATGTGTGCCCGTTAGTGCACCATGTCATAGCATTCCCTAATCATTTCTAAGCCCCACCGTGAAAGAATTAAGGCCCTAGCACAGGGCAGACCGGCGCTATTGAAGTTTTTGTCCGGCGCGGTCGGGTGCCGCGGTCGCGGCGGATTGCCTTCACCGCGGATTGCAATTTCGACAGACGTTTGACTTTGAACTGCTATAAGTAGGTCAAATATTGACCTTAAGTCAAAAATAATATGCTCACGCCTCACTCGCGAGATCTTGTCAAGGGCCATCCGTTGGTATTTGTCGCGAGGCGCTAGGACACTTCGTTTAGGAACAGGAGAGGGATTCACCGACGAACCCCCGCTGTGGCCGCCCGCCCGCGGCGCGTCCGTCCGCCCACCGCGACACCCGACCGCCACGGACGAAAACTTTAGTAGCGCCGGCCAGCCCTGTGCTAGCGCCTTAACCCGCGCGGGGCTAGGGGGGGGGGGGTAAATTTTACCCCCCCTCGCGAATTTTTGCGATATCTCAAAAACGGCGGTACCTTTTCTTACATCAATTTGACACGTTCCCTGAAAATTTGAGCGAAATCCGTCGGAAAATTTTTGAGAAATTGACGTTTTAGTGACGTCATGTTCGCCATTTTCGCCTCAAAAACGGCAAAAGTTCAAACGCCGCTAACATCTTCATTTTTAAAGGAATCAAGACGTAACAAAAAAGGTTATACGTAATTTTACGTTGTCTATCAAATGGCTATCTCGGTTTTTTGAAAATTTTGGATTTTGGCCTAAATTTTTTCAAAAAACTGACTTTTTTGGGAAAATCGTTATAAAATCCAAAATTTTGAGTCTATCGAAAAAACCGGAATATATGTCAGAGAAGTGGTCTATGTGCACCTACATACCAAATTTTAGAAGAATCGGTTCAAAAATGTGGGAGTTATTCAAAATTTTATGACGTCACGACACACAAATTTTTTGAAAAATGACTTTTTTGGAAGTTCTAGACCTCGTACGGAAACAAAAATAGCACCATTCGATTCGCCGTGAAAAACTGCATCAGATATACACCTTTTTAGGCCTTAACAACCAACTTCAAAATTTGACCTCACTTGACCTGACCTTGACCTGACCTCGACCTGAAATTCATCCAGAGGTGGTCCATATCACTTATTGAGTGTGCCTATTGAATTCTATGAGTAAAATGACCCATAAAACATGTGTCGCACATGCCCTTTTCTATATTTTGTTTTTTGGTGACCTGACCTGACCTGACCTGACCTTGACCTTGACCTCTGAATGATATTGTATGCAACGAATATTGTCTTGGTAGCCTAAGAACACGTTTTGGGCGATCAGTCTCAGTCCATGACTCCATTCTTCGGCAACTACGGTGCAAGGCCGATACTGTAGAAACTTGCAATTTGTACCCTTGACCTGGCCTTGACCTTGACCTCAAAGTTTAAAATAAGTACATGTTTTTAGTAGTTCGTGATGAGAGCTTTCGATTGGCGTTTGAATTTTCCAAATCGGACCATTAGTTCGGGAGATAACAGGGGGGGGGTAAAATTTACCCCCCCCCCCCAGCCCCGCGCGTTCGGCTGGAGACCCCAGCCCCGCGCGGGTTAATTCTTTCTGCGGCTTAGAAATGATTAGGGAATGCTATGACATGGTGCGCTAATGGGCACACACTGTGTTAACTGCTGTAGGTGAAACGAAAGCAAATATTTTTCACTAAAAAAATTGTTATTGAAACATGATGACAAATATTTAGATCAACGCCGAACCAAAAGGGGTACGGCTTTTGGTGACCCGTCATTAGAAGCAGCAGGCTTTGGGGATCATTTCCATGTATAATTTTTGCCATTTGTATGAAATGAACGCACGCTAGCGGCGTTTGAACTTGCGAGTATCTGACAGTCATTTTACGACATAGAAAATGTCACGACTTCTGACAATCATACACGAGGCTGGTTTTGACAAAAACATGAAAAACATACTTTTTCAGACACCCCAAACACTTGCCTGACTGGCTATATTGCGATTTATTCGATTACCTGAACTTGAAATTTGGGCCTTTTCGGTATTTATGCCACTCTTGAACCCCATTTGCATCACTGTGAGCTGTGGGGGCAAGCTTCCACCACTGCCCTCTCCCCCGCTTCCCGCGCCTATGTATGAATCTATGAAATTATGTAGGTAGATTTCCGATTTCGATTCCTCCAGCTGGGGGGCTCAAATACATTACGAGCCCCCCCCCCCAGCCGAAAAGTTGGAGGGGCTCAGCCCCCGCTAGCCCCCCCGGTTCCCGCGCCACTGGCACGGTGCCGCGGTGCCCTCCCCATTCCGCCGCCTATGGGCAACAAGTTCGTTTTTTTCGCGAAGCTCTATCTAGCTCGATCAGGGGCGAAACGGCAGGGAGGGGAGTCTAACGGACCCCCTCCCTTATACGCTCGCGGCTGGAAAAACACGAATACGGGCGAGGGATAATCGTACCGGACAGACGTCGTTTCGTTTGAAAAAAAATCTCCCTAAGGTTGATCATTATCAAACTACCTTGTGATTGACGAACGTGCAGTACCAGTAGCATAAATTTATGCATCCTTGATGAATACAATCGTGAACTTGCGTGCGATGTGGGAATGTTGGGCTCTGGTATTAACTGGATAATTCGCCAGCTGACGCCGTATGGTGGCGCTAGTGGAGCAGCACCATATGACGTCAGCACAAAACACCGTGAGCAGCTATGAAATGGGAGCGAGCACCACGGAAATATCGAAAGGTGATGGACATGTACTGACTTTGGTCATTCAAGTACCACCAACACCATACAAAAATCATATAATATCATCAAGACTGATTCTGGAATCGATTCGTCCGGGTATTTAAAACACACAAAAAATGTTTGTTACCGAATTCTGAAACAGTATAAGGATATTCTTGTTCCTTACTTTTACCTTGTGGAGTACTTTTACTTGCTTTCTAGTGCGCCCATCACTATCTTGAAATCTGGATTGCAACGCTGTAGGAAAACTTTTTTTCATTTGTCATTTCTTCCACTTTTGAGCAGTGATAATTTATTTGGTTTTATACATTAAATAATGAAGACGGCTCCTAACTTTTTAGGGATCTGCAGTGGCCCAGAGAGCAAAATCAGATATTTTCTAAAAACTTGAGGCCACTATTTTCTTATATGCTAGAAAATATACAAATATTGACATTAAAAGAATGATACGGGTATATAATTCTGCAGAAATATAAATTCAAAGTATTTAAATTATTCAAGAACCTTTTTAAAATCTTCCATAATGACTTCTTTCAATACAAGCTGGATGCAATTTCAATCAATAAAGCAGCACAAGGCAGTACATTGAGCTACGATGATCCATAACCAATCGGCACCTGCAATTTGATTGATCTTCGAGATGTACCCTGCCCCTGTTCCCTGACTTTCCCTTTTCGTTGTACCGGGTGAAGTGAATATTCTGTGAATATTCTTCTGACAGTCAGTTTTTAGTCCTACATTATGTTGTCAATCAGATTTAATTGGTTCAAAAACCGTCGTAGTCCGTCTCATTCGCAGTCTACATCTCCACATGCGCACCCATACATGCCCAAAATTTTCACTACGTATGTACTATGTACCCTGCAGCGTATCCTGATGAAAAATGTTTTGTTGAAATCATAGACACTTCCCAAGGTAGGCCATAGTCCATGGCCATATATTTAAGTCAAAACAGATAAAACAGATAAACACAATTCCAATCATCAAGTCAACCAGCATCGACAATCTGCACATAAGTTCTAAACCTATTGTAAGACTACTTTGTATTCAAACTTTGTATTGCAGAAGGGTGGAAGCTGCATGGAATTATGCGACAATTTTAGCGTGCATCCACGCTCGAAAGAGCAGGGTTAATTGTAACAATGTCAATACCATAGCAATAACGTAATTGTAGGCGTTGTGATTCGGTTGTTTCTTGTCTGTGCTGGCCATTGCGCGGGCGGTCCAGCGGCGGAACTCGGCTTCGCCGCCGTGGCGCGCTGGCAGTTGCTTCTTCTTCTTCTTCTGCATCCCATCGCCAACCCGCTCAGGGGGGCGGCGGCGCAGGCGGGTCGAGCGGCGGCTCGGTCCGCCCAACATCCTCGATGAAGGTGACGACCTTCGTCGCCGGGCCGCCGAGGACGTCGACCAGGCGAGGGTCGGCACCCGAGCGGCGGCGGCGGGCCGCCTCATAGGCCGGACAATCGGTCAGTAGGTGCGCCGCGCTGTCGGGCTCCCCGCACGCGGGGCATTCGTAGTCGGCTTCCGGGCCAATCTTGTGGAGCGTGTCACGGGTCAGCGGTGATGTGCCGGTCCTCAGCTGGGACAGCGTCACCGACCCCAGCGCGCCAGGGAGTCGTGGCCAGGCGTGGGGTCCGGGTGCGGGTGGGCAGCGGTTGCCCTCTGTCGCGACAGCTCCCGGACATGGCGCGTGACGGCGGCTCGCGCACTCGACAGGTCGATCGGTGCGCTGTCTTGGTCGCCCGCCGTGGCCTCGCCAGCCAGGCGGTCGGCGGTTTCGTTGCCGTCCAGCCCGGCATGGCCTGGCACCCACTGGAGCACCGTCTCGGTGCCGTTCTCGGCGAGGGTGCTCAGCACTCAGCAGCCTCCACACCTCGGCGGCCAGGGCCATGGTCTGGTTAGCTGGGCCGCGGCCGAGTAGTTGGAGCCCAGACCTTGAGTCGGTGAGGAGGCGGACCGACTTGGTCGATGCCAACTCCCCGTCCTCCAGGCCGGCCACAGCCGCGAACGCCTCGCGCATGGCGGTCAGTTCTGCTCTTAGGCTGGAGCAGACCGCCCCTGCAGGAGCGCGCACGGTCTCTTCTCTGTTGAGGTGGTGGAACTGGATCAGCGCCTGCGCCGCCCTGTTCCGTCCGCCGCGAGCCGAGCCGTCCGACCAGATAGTGACGTCCGGGTGCGGGAGCTCTGCAATGGCTCGCAGGGCAGCTTCCCTGCGGACTGCAGGCGGGTCCGACCGGCGGGTGGCCACGGGCAGGTCCACCCTGAAGGTGATGCCGCCGCGGTGGCCCAGCCATGGCGGGTCGCAGCTGTAGAACGCCGAACCTGTAACACAATAGAATTGCAATTGTAACAAAGACCTGCATGGTCAGCACACATCTGCAGTGACTGTCATCCCAAGTTGGTATGAATTGGCACAAAGTTGGGTCATGGTAGCAGACGTAGCACAAGCTGTTGTGATATGCCATACCGTAGGACTAGGTCGTAGGTTGTAAATTTTAGGTTTAAGGCTGTAGGTTGTAGGTCAGGTTAGGTAAGGTTTGGTTAGAAAGACCCATTCTCGTGCATCGGGCAGCTTGTGCTACATCTACCTGACCAATACCCAATTTGGATTCCCAAAATTGATGGCAAACAGGCTTTTTGTATAACAAGTGTGGTTAATTGTTCTAATCCCCACTGCAATGTGAGGGTAACTGCTTTTCTACAATCACAAAATTTGAATTCATATAGGTAGGTGTTTACATGTTCAGAAAATGATACAAAATATGACACAATTAATTATAGCTGCAACTGGATAGTGGATACCAACCTCAACTGAAAGTTTCTGCAGCCTTATAACCTAACAAATGACTAAATTGCCAAAATAAATCCCTTAGTACAATAGCTTGACTCTAAAATAACAGAAATTTTTCATGCAGACCCTGAAATGGAGGGTTTATGAAAAGTAACAAAAATAAACATTCACTAATATCAATATGTTGTTATAAATTTCATATGTAGCATAAGCGCCAATACTGCCTTCATTTACAATGTTGCTACTGTTTTCCACTCACAAACGCTGCCCTCCGTGGACAGCAGCAGCAGCAGTGAAACGTCACCCGTGGTGTGACATCACCACCCATGACGTAATGGAAATCCAGTTGTTACCAAGGCCCGGAATGTTTTGAGACTCGCGCATAATTGGAGCACCGCTTTTTCAATTTGCCTTCTTTGAGTGTTGATAAGGAGCAAGAGAATATGAGGATTATGCTGTAGAAGTGCATAGTAGAAAGCAGAAGTCAAATTAATGGTTTTACGCGACCGGTAAAGTCATCGTTCTGCGTTATGAATGCCGCATTATTAACTATTTGCTTAGATAACCTTTGAATCAATTTGGCAGTAGTCCTGACTTGCTTCAAACTGATTTGGATGTTTCCATGATGACTTCTTTTTTTACATTTAGCTTTGGCTAACTGTAATCTTTTTATTGTGATTGCTGATTCAGTAACAGTGGGGCAGGCATCACCAAAGCAACACATTTCGTTTTTACAACCAAGGAGAGGCGCTATACCCAGAGAGGAGATGCTTCTTTCTAACTAAGCCAAAACAAACCTAACCTAAACTTCTACCTACCACCTACAACATACAACGTATAAAGTTATAAACCTACAACAACAAAACAATCCTCCTCGGTCATGGTTGCAAAAACAGCACATGGTGATGCCTGCCCAGCCCCACAGTTACCAGTGCAAAGTGTTTGCTTTCATCTTCTTACTCAGTTCATTTTAGTTTCTGCTCCTTTGGCATAATTTTGATATAAAACCTACATTTTAACATGAGAGTGTACTGGTTTATTGTTGGAAACATGAATTTTCAGCTAAAGTTCTTAATCCTTAACTGAAGCACCTGCTCTGAGTCACAATTGTTAGTTGTGTCAATCTTGGTTGACATATGTTTAACACCTTTTTGAATTAGCCAAAAAGACCAAAAGAGTATAATTCTACAAAACAAGTGATAGACTTTATCTAACTTAACTTAATGCCTGCATAACACCTGCTTTGAACCTACTTAATGCCTACTTAAAACCTGACACCTACCATTTGCACTTGCAGTGTATGTAGACTTAGAGAGACAGGTGCTTTAGTTGGAGATAAGCATTATGTTTTTCACAACTGATATCGTGAGTGTTCTGTATGAAATAGCTATTACAAAGTATTTCATTTATCACCTTTCCCTTATTTATATCTACTCATTATATGTTTAGGTTCTATTTTTACCCTTATTTCCTCATGTGGTGTGTGGCTGATCTTGGATGAGCATGGGGGGGGGGGGGGGAAGGGGTTGAGGTTGGACATGAAGGACATTTGCCTTTCCCTAAGGGCTGGTTAGTTTTGAAGCTTGAAATGAAATTGTTTTGGAGAGAATGTTCCCCAACAGGTTGTCAAGCAGCTTTACTGGATTCATCATTACAACAGTATTAGAATATTTTTTATATCAGCTAAAATGACCTATATTTGTCAGAGCTTATTAAATATAGAGCTTGAAAAAATATACAGATTCTTAATTGAACCACATGTTCTGTTTTGTTCTAACACCTCTCATTCTAAACAGTTCATATATACGACAACAAACTCCAGGATTATTCTGCAGAGACAAGGCTCTGATTAATGATTATATCCTTATACATTCTGATTTCTGAAAGCACATTACATGATTAAAGGTATATTATAATATGTGAACTTATATAATAAAGGCTTAAATTTACCAAAACACATCTCTTTATGCTTAAGTGCCCAGATGTTGTAAGGAAAACACCATAAGCATTGAGGGAAAATCTCCATCAGTTGTTCATTTTGTACTAGTATGTTTTTATTTTTTACATGGTTATATTTATAATCATGTCTTTGTATACACTCTTTGACCACATTTTTTATTTATTTATTTTTCAGTCATAGTCTGCAGCAGCAATGACACCTGAACAATTCAGAGGGCTGCTCAAACAATGGGACAGGGTCGGAAGGAGTGACTTGTGAGTATCCATTTTTATGGTGTGCTGAACTCAGCTCTGGTGCTGTCGCTTGGATCATGCATGGTAAAAGAGCAAAGTTGAAGGACTTGTTGAACCGCCACCTTGTGTGGGCTCTAGTCTTCACACTATGATATACCTAGCTGCTAGGAGTCATTTTTTAGTTGCTGCTTGTCCACGAAGGGCCAGAGGCAAGCTCATTGAAAAAGAAAAGGAAAATGGCAGCCACTGATATTCATTGAAGTATTATTTACAATTTTTGCATAGGTACCTATTCATAGTTTTATAGTTAATCAAACACTCGAGCTTCATAGCGTTTAAGAGATCAGACCAGTAGACCAAAATGTTATGCAATTTCCTTCCCCATGCTATCATTCAGTGTCAAAGGCTTATAAATGCCACCAATGCCTTGCAATGTTTTCGAATCTTTGGACAGTTGAGTTCCCATTCATTCTCATCAAATTTGATGCTCACTGTGAAGTCATGTTACAAATGTTTGGTTGAATATTTCAGCTTACAGTACCTGAAGAACATCATCCCTAATCAGGATGAAACACTTCTTGGCACAGTGGGCTCTTCAGAAGGTGAGTGTTCTCTCTAATTGTCACAGCTACAATGTTATGGCCTAATTCTTAAATTCAGGATTCCAAATATAAGATAGGAAGGTAGGTAATGCCTTTGGAGGTTTATGCTGAAGCTTCTTTGAAATAGCATCACTAACGCTGCAAACTAGTTTGTTACCAATTTTATTTATCTTAATACAGCTGCATAGGTGTTATACAAATTGTCCATAATGCCACAGTACTGTGTCATGTCAATGCAAGGCACTTAACGTTTTTTTATGTCTCAAAATCACTGTCTTAGTCGACGTTGGGTCTATAAAAGCCCCAATCAGGAAACTATCATATCCATAATTTGTTGTTTTGTTTGTGCAGATGTACACATGTGTCTGTACCGGCTGATCCAGGCTGGCGCCGACGGCGTTCTGAAGAAGGAGAGCGTCGCCAAGACGCTGTCAGAGGCCGTGGTGAGTGAAGACTATGGGCCTTCCCCCATCACCACCATGACCATAACCTGGCCAGTGTACTGATTTAACCCTCGCCGGCCGAGGGGGGGGGGGCGGGTGCCGCCCCCCCCATAGGGTTTTTTCGCGATAGCTCCGAACACGCTGGCGATAGAGAGCTGAAACTTGGCATACCTGACCTTTGATCCAAGCCGCATCTTTTGACACCAACCGCATTTTTGGGTCAGGTCAGGTCACTGACCTATGACGTCATAAGTGAACCTCTGCACGGTCTTCAGATGTCGCAACTTCGCAACGCCCTCACTGCCAGAGGAGATGTCACAGGGAAATGAAACTTGCAGGATCTAGTATCCATTATGAGTCCCACAACTTGTATATCTCGGATTTTTCCTAAAGGTCATATGAGGTCAGGTCATTTTCGTGACCTCACCATTATAAGTCAATGGGGAAAAATTCAAACTGCTATTCTGGCGCCGGGAACGATCTCCAACTATCTCAAGCACACAGAATCGTGATTTGATGCACTCCTTGCAAGGTTAGATGCGTCACTTTTGCAATGTTGACCTTGCGTGACGTCATTTATGACGTCATCAAGGTCAAATTAGTTTTTCGTCAATAACTCTTGATCAAATTGAGCTAGCGAGTCGGGGAAGGCACCAATGGACTCAGGAAGGCCTGCCGAATCGAATGATATGCGACATGACCTCTTTCGACCAACTTCGTGACCTGGGGGTGCTGACCTGACCTTGACCTGAGGTCAACACCCCAAGTTGACCTGACCCGGACAAAAAGTATATCATTCGACGCGCCTGAGCGAGGCGAACACGATGCTGCCAAAATCGGCGCTCTGCGGCCGTTTTTTGCGAAGTTATTCACCAAAAACTGAACCGTACCTTGGGGCACTTGACCTGACCTCAGAGGTCACCGGTTGACCTAGGACCTTAAAATCGGGTACCAATCTCTGCGTCTCGTAACGGCGCACACGCTCGTTTTTTCCGCGACGCGCTAGCTCCACCAGGGGCGAAACGGCGAGGGGGGGGTCGTACCCGCCCCCCCCCCCTCGGCCGGCGCGTATGTAGAAAACCAATAGGTCCGGCGAGGGTTAAGGCTCCTAGGTCCGTCTGCCAGCCAGTCCTCACATTGACATCCGTCAAAGAGTCCGTTTATATGTAATTGTGCAAGATGGTTCGATATGATATTTAATATTCATGAAGCACGGCACAGTACATCATTCAATATAGTGCATGGACCTACTCCTAGTATCTATCCGTTACCTACGATGCTGATCTTAGGCTCGCGGTTGTCCGTTTCAGACGCTCCACCCCGACCTCCCTGCCGCGGTGGTTGACATTTTCGGTATGCTTGATGTCGAAATCACCGCGACTGATGATCCCAAAAGTAAAGAAAGGTTCTACTGGATCATCAAATCCGTCGAAGGGGTAAGTACCCTTGGTTTGTTAACAGGGCTGCGGAGTCGTTGGATTTTCGGTGGCCCCGACTCCGACTCCGACTTCCGAAAATCAACTCCGGCTCCGGCTCTGCAGCGCTGCTCGCAAACATGTCTTTTTGATGCAATAATTATCGTCCGGTACTGCTCATGAGCGCTTACAGTTTCTAGTCTTAGTTTCTTAACTTATAATGCAACTGTCTCATAGTGTGAAGCCAAGGCAGGATAGTACTTGTCACAATGTCCGCTGTTCTCCTTTGGTGCTCGTATGCGGCGTACCCTACCGTCTCTGACCGTTGGGACTCGTCTCAGGCCGTGTCCAACCAGCTCCTGCGAGAGAGGATGGAGGTCGAGAGCTTCCCGCACATCGGCGTCGTCAAAAACCCCAAGGCCTTCAACTCAAAGTTCATCAAACTCAAAACAAAGCTCTAGTGAGTTCGTACATCGTACTGGATGAATGCTAGCGTTAATTTTCAAAATGGGACTTGCGTCCGTTTAGGTAATTACCCTATCATAATTCTTTTTTAGGTATTTTGGTTCCTTTTTATACAGTTGGCACACTTCTTTTTGCTTTCGAGGATTCACATTGAAACTGTTCTTTCTTACATTAGTAAGCTAGGCTATCGAGTCTCTGTGTAGCTCTAACAGTCCCCCAATTTTTTAGTGCTTTCATTCAGATTTAACGCCCAATCACTTCCATTGGAATCGTCTTCCGATGCTGATAATCGGTACGAATGATCTGACACCGCACCGTGTATGTGCCACGCAGCTACAAGCAGCGCAAGTTCAACCTGTTTCGGGAGGAGAGCGAGGGTTACGCCAAGCTGCTAGTAGAGCTGAACCAGGACCAATCCAGCTCCTCACCAGAACATATGCTCGAAGTCATCAAAGCCATCATCGGTAAGGCACACGTCCAGCTTATGGCAGCTCTTAACTACCTATCAGATAGCAGCTTTTGGCTTTCCTGTTTTCAGATGATTTATCCCTAGTTGTAACCTCTGATCTAGTTGATGTCTGCTCTGTCAACTCTCTTGTTCCTCTTCGTCTCCTAGCTTGTCAGGTCTCCACGCTTTCATCTGACCACCCCTCACCATCCTCCAGGCTGTTTCAACCTGGACCCGAACCGAGTGCTGGACGTGCTGCTGTCGTCGCTGGAGGCGCGGCCGGACCGGCACGCCTTCCTGGTGCCGCTGCTGCGCCTGTACATGCCCTCTGCGGAGACTGTCAGCGAGGTAGTGGGCGCGCGCTACGGCTTCTGCCAGCCGCAGCCGGGCCAGGACGAGACGGAGGCCGAGACGCCGCGCTCGCTGCACGTCATGACGGCGCTGCTGCTGCGGCACGGCGTCATCCGGCTGGAGCACATCTGGCCATGGGTGAGTTATTGGGGACGGGTGATGTAACTGACGGGGAGGGCTGCAGTGATTCATTATGGCTTTTGAATGGTCTGGGCTGGGCTGATACTGCTGCACTGCAGGGGGCTGAGAGGTTATCACATGCTGGGCTAGACTAGCCCGGCATGTGTAAGTGTGCCAACGATGCATTTGGTCATGATAAATGGTGTGTGTAGCGTGATGCTAATCTATATTCCTCGCTCACTATCACACACAACACAAAAACACAGAACGTGACATATTCACGTGACACTTATCCGGCTGCCTACATCTAAGCAGCCGGCACAGTGTGAAGCTAATTATTACTCACCACCCCTTCGCTTAACCACCCTTTCACATTACTGTAAAAGTGTAAGCATGCAACTATTAGCCCATAGGTCCTCCATTTTGCCATCTCCACCGGCCCTCACGGCCCTCTTGTCTGTGTTATGCGCAGCTACTACCGGCGGACTCTGCGATCGAGGCGCAGCACCGGCGCCTGATGGCGGCCGCCGCAGAGTACCAGCGGCGCACCTTCGTCGTCTCCACCAAGGACAAGGACAAGGAGGAGGCGCCGCGGGACGAGACGCCGACGCTCTCGGTTAGTGATTGAAGGGCGGTCAGGCTATCTACGGCTACGTAGCTTAACTGAGGAATGAGAGTGGAAATGGGAGGAGTTGTGGAATGGGGGGAGCTGATACCTACAGATGGTGTTCAGAAACCTTCAGCTGCTAGTTTGGAATCTGCAGCGTTCTGACCTTACGCGTGCAACTGTTGGCTTTTCGTTTGCTATAGCGAGTGTTCTGAAAACGTCATGCTTGGTGGACTACGACTGCATGTTTGGCGAGCTTGGCCTTTTTTCTTTTTATAATAAGCTCGTTCTTTCCGCCCGGATATTCTGTGGCTGGGACCCCAATTGTTGTGTTTTTTTTTTCGCCGAAACAATGGCAATGTGTAAAGTTCATTGCCTGCTGCTGACCATTGCCCCTGCCTCTGCGTTCCAGCCGATATCCCAGAGCCAGAAGCTGGGTCTGTGCGAGGCGGTGCTGTCGATCGGCGACTGGCCGACAGCGCAGGCCATTCTGGCCCGCTTCCCGGACTTTTGTCTGATGGTGCACCCGGAGCTGGCGGCGGCCGCCTGTCGCCTGCTCTCCGTCCGCCTGGATCCCATCTACCGACGGTAAGGAGTCATGGCTGGACTAAGTGGAGGGTGCTACTGGGCGGGCTGAGTCACGAGGGATTTGCTGATTGGTGGATGAATGGGCGAAGTCGAGGAACAGGTAGAGAGGGGATCGAAGATGGATGCGTCGTATGGTAATCTTCAGTTATGAAGAGTCCTATTTACTGTGTGCCAGGAACGATGATGACTTAGATATTTCGTGGAAATCGCATTGTTTGCTGGAAAACTCTAAATGTCTGCTGGCCCCGCCCGTAACTGTGTTTTACTGCTCCCTCTCCCCACCCTGTCCTCTGACGGCGCTGCCCCGGCCCGTCCCCAGGTTCAGCGGTATGGCGGCGGCGCTGCGGCCGGCTCCGGTGTCTCTCCCCCCGCTGGTCGAGGCGCGGCCCGACAGTGAGCTGACCAGTGTGCGCTCAGAGGTGGCCCCTCTGCTCTCTGTGATCGGACCGTACCTGTCGTCAGACGTGACACTGGTGTACCGCGTGCTGCGCGTGGCGCGGACTGCCCACCAGCTGGTGAGTGACGGGGACTGGTGAGGTGCACATTGCTTATATCTAGCACTCTGTACATTAGGAATTATAGATCGGATTTATAGCTTGTTGAAATCGAAAAGGCCTTGTTTATAATTGTGTGTCCCAAATGATGCAAACCCTTGTATCTGTGAAGTACGTGGCCCGTCATCACCATCCGGAACTTACAATCTATACACACCCTTCAGTGCCCGAAAGAGTCGGACCAACTGTCTCATCCCCGGACACTATTTCCAATCGACCCTCCCTCTAATCTTACCTACAATATTTCCCTGCCACCCACAGCGTCTGAAGGAGGCGGACCCGGACGCGCCGGAGACGCGCGAGGCGTTCTTGTTCTACGACGTGCTCACGATGCTGGAGGAGGCGGTGCTGCCCTGTCTGGTGCTGCTGGAGGCCAACTGCTGCCTGGCGGAGGAGATCTGGACCGTGCTCGCCTACTACCCCTACCAGCACAGGTGGGGAGAGACTGCAAGTCTTGGATTGTGTGAACTAACTAGCCGCTCTATCACAGATTGTTATGTAAATTCTGAGAGCGTCTTTCCAATGCCTTTGGTATAGTGATGTTTTGGGCACCGGTGCTCTCCACAGTTCAGGCAGTTTAAAACCCAAGTCGTCAATTCATATCATCTGTAGTAACGTCATCATTTTGCCTTTTCAGGTATCGCCTGTACGGAACGTGGAAGAATGAGAGCCACAACCAGCACCCGCAGCTCATCAGGAAGCGGGCAGATCTCATCAAGATGTCCAAGTCGCTGATGAAGCGCATCAGCAAGGAAAACGTGAAGCCGCTCGGCAGGCTCATGGGCAAGCTGACGCACAACGCGCCTGGCTACATGTTCGAATACGTGAGTAGCGCCGTGTCTGGGCCAGACCGTTAAACTTGGGTGACAAACGTTAGTGTGAATATCGGAGTTGTCTTTTCTAATCGTTGATAATCGGATTGTCAATTGCTATCCTGCTTTTACAAGCATTATTCGTCGTTGATCCATTCGACGGGATCCATAATCGATAGGTGCTAAGCGTGTATGCACTTCCATCGAACCATATGCGCCGCTGTTCTCAGATGCTGGGCCAGATTCAGATCTACGACAACCTGATCGGGCCGATGGTGGACTCTCTGAAGTACATCACCAATCTGTCGTACGACGTGCTGGGCTACTGCATCATCGAGGCGCTGGCCAACCCGGAAAAGGACCGCACCAAACACGACGGTACGGACACTAGGGTCAGGGAGAGGAACTATCAATAGGGTTGCCGGGTCCGTAGTTGCAGGGCTAGGGTTGAAGTTTGAGCTGTTCAAGGAGTTCCCGTCAAGGAGTAACTGATAAGTTTTCTGTTGTGTGTGCTGCTGCGGGTATTTTACTCCACCGGTCGTGGTCACGTTTTGTCCCTGTGCGACATCGGGCGCTCAGTGTTTTGCAATTTTCCCGCCGTCCGTTAGCCTTAGTTTCCTCTTTGCACCGCCATACCAATTGGTGCGGTGTGGAGCCCTTCGGCGGCCGGACAGACTCATCATACACTCCGCCCCAGTGTGACTCGCCGCATAATTTCCTCACCCTCACCCGACTCTCTCGCCCCGCAGGCACCTCGCTGTCACTGTGGCTCACGTCGCTCGCAAACTTCTGTGGGTTCATGTTCAAAAAGTACAACCTGGACCTGACGGGACTCATGCAGTACGTCGCCAACCAGCTCAAGTCGATGAAGAGGTCAGTATTGTGGTGTAACGGGGCTACTTGCTGATGTAACTATGTGAATCAAGGAGTGGTGTTTATGGAGAAGTGTCGAAATGCATTGTAAACGCATTGCCATCCTGTTGTTTTCTCCTGCTGTGGTTTTGCATCGATCTTAGATGCGGACATTTATCCTGTTGAAAAGTAGACACTAGACAGCTTTTGTCCACTTTTCGTTCAGTCAGTAATCAGTATGCATGTTTGTCCCACGGTGTGTGAGCCCGGTACCGACCTCTGACGTCACCGACCCCCCTTTCAGCCTGGACCTGCTGATCCTGCGGGAAGTGGTCCAGAAGATGGCCGGCGTCGAGGCTGTGGAGGACATGACGGAGGAGCAGCTGTCGGCCATGGCCGGTGGGGAGCTGCTCAGAGCCGAGGTCAGTATTGGATAGGTACCGGGGGTCGGAGAAGATCGGTTACCGCGGGGCTGACCATGGAGTCAGTTGTTATATTGTCGGGTCACAATTATCACACTTAGTGCAGTGATCGAGTATTGAGAAGATTCGGCGAATTGGATGCTAGTCTGCAAGTTCCGTGCAGCTATTCTGTCACGTCATCGTGACTGTATTTATTCAGCTTTGACCAAAGCAGCAAGACCCATGGCCTGACCAGCCGCGGAGTTCCACTGTGCTCAGTGCTTCCCGAACTAAAACACATCGATGACGATGTTTACCTCTGCGTGAACTTCAGTTTTCTACCAGTTTCATCATACCCAATGCTACTCACACTGACCGGTGTCGTCCCCAGGCCGGGTTCTTCAACCAGGTTCGGAACACGAAGAAGTCTTCCCAGCGTCTGAAGGACAGCCTCATCGACAACGGCCTGATGGTGCCGATGGTGCTCCTCATGGCCCAGCAGCGGCACTGCGTCGTCTTCAAGGAGACAGAGGGCTCGCACTTGAAACTCGTCGGAAAACTGTATGATCAGGTATGTTTACTGAGTGTTACTGCCTTTGACGTTCAGTATGTGAGAGTGACAGTGACTACTGACTTACGTTTAGTGTGTAGTCAGTGGCTAAGGCTGACCCGAGTCTTGGATGCTTATCATTCCCATTTACACTCACACTGCAATCTTTTGAGTCTGACGCTAATTGCTAGTGTACTCGGAGGCTCAGCAGACTGTGTACTTTTGCGTTGAGCACAGCCTCTGCCTTCCGTGATTGCTCGTTCTGACCATCTTCCCCGTCCCTTTCGACAGTGCCAGGACACGATGGTGCAGTTCGGCATGTTCCTGGCGTCTGCGCTCAGTATCGACGACTACCGCCAGCGGCTGCCGGCCTTCGACAGTCTGCTGTCGGAGTTCCACATCAGCCCTGACGTGGCCTTCTTCCTGGCCCGACCCATGTTCACTCATGCCATCCAGGTGAGACCGGTGGTGTGGAGTTACACATTGGGACTTGTCTTCGGCGATCATATGACCGTATGATTTAGGGCTTGTGGTTAGTTCTCTTGCCCACTGTCGCTTGCCCATCGTTCTCTTGCCCACATCGACACATGTTTGATGCTACACTGAGTGTAGCATCAAGCATGTAAGGTTATGAGATACCGTAAAACGGGGCTATAAGGGACAGTGGAGTTATAGGGGACAAATTTCGGGAAAAAGTTTTGAGGGATCTGGGTAATACAGTGAACGAGAAACAAAAGGAAATAGATATATAATATGAAACACTGATGTCTGGACATGCATGCCACATCACCATTTCCAAGATGCTTGTTGTTGTTCTCATGCTATGAGCTTTTGAAAAAAGTGCCAAATTCGCAACAAAATTGTAACCCCGAAAACTTTGCTTGTGGAAACACAATCACGGACTCTGGGACCTTCACAAAGGTATAGTCAATGACCACATGTATCCTGAAGATGCCCATGAAATTACATCCATGTACCCTCCTTGCCTCATCCTCATTTCCGCTTTTTTCTGTTTCAGGTAGATTTTGATGTCAAAACGGGGCTTTAAGGGACACCGTCATTACCAGTCAAAGCGAGGAGTTAAAACAAGGAAAACATATTCGAAAGATGTAATCATGAAAGCTGTGGATGCAGTGAACAGAGGGATGCCTTTCAGGGTAGCTGAGCAGAAGTTTGGGATCCCAAAAAGTGTCATGTAGGCACAATAAGGCACCTGCTACCTGAAAACCGGGCCATCCCACATTCCTTGGAGAGGACAGAGGATGTCCTGTGGTGTACCCCTTCTCAGACATTGTGCAAAAGATCCAAGAACCCAAATACCTCACCAGGGGAATCATGGAAATCAAAGAGGTCAAGGAATACAATGAGTGAGCTGATATCAAACACCTCCAGCTCCAAGGAGCTGCCAGAGACTCTCTCCAGTCTTCTGGTGGATGGTGTTCTGGAGTTCAGAATGGCAGGAGAATGCCTCATTATCAAGTGGTTGTACTCATATCATTTGTGTTTTGATAATAACACATTATTATGTTTCCATATTTGAGTTTCCTTTATGGTATTTATGTTGAAAAAGGAAGTTACCTTTTCCGTCCTCCATTGGAAACTTTGATGGATGCCAATCCATTGTATGTGCACTTAAAAAACAAATATTTTGCACAGGAAAGCAGTAAACATTTTTAAAAACATAGTCTGTGTCCCTTAAAGCCCATTTGATGGTGCTACTAGAGTTTAAAAGGCCATAACAGTGCTCGTCCCTTAAAACCCCGGTGCGGGGCTATAAGGGACAAGCAACAAAAATGAAAAAAAATCCTACATCTATGATACCAATAAAATGCATATTATGCCAAAAGACAGACCTAGTCAAGACCTGAAAAGTGACAAAGTTTGAAGCCTGTGTAAGCAATAACCTTTGAATGACAGGTTGTCAAAGTCAAAACCTGTCCCTTATAGCCCCGTTTTACGGTAGTTAATAACAGTCACACGGTTTTTAGATATGTCGCTCAACGGGTGCTTTCATCGTATCAGGCATCTGCCGTCACGTATAACTTATGTGGATGTCATTGCGCTTGAACATATGACCTCATTTAGCAATGCGCTTCAGAATGCGCTTCGTTTGTACCGTCACCCGGTAAGCCACACATAAACCCCTTTCCCGTCCCCAGCAACGTTACGACGAGCTGCGGAAAGCCGAAAAGAACCACAAGTCGCTGTCGGTGGAGCAGAAGCGCGAGAAGTACCTGCAGGCCAGCGAGCAGGTACTGGCGCCCGTGGTCACCGCCGTGGTGCCCGTGTTCCCGGCCAAAACCTGGGACGACATCAGCGCCGAGTTCTTCACGTCGTTCTGGTCGCTGACGCTGAGCGACTTGCGCGTGCCGTCCGAGAGCTATGAGAAGGAGGTCCGACGGCTGAAACAGCAGGTCACCCAGCTGGCCGACAACAGGGACCTGGTGAGTGGTCAGCCGAGGGGCGAGGGAAGGCGAAAGAGGGGAAGGCTAGGTCACGGACTCGACTTATATGTGGTCAAACGGGCTGTCAGGTTCCAGGGCTTTAATGTATTTTCACTCAATCTGATCATTGACCTGGTATATGTAGTAATAACAAAAAGTGTGAGGGTTAAAGGCTGCCTTTCTCAGCGAAATAAGGCGAATATGTCCAGGTAGCAACAAAATAAGCTCATGTGTCCTTCGCAGACGGAGAGCAAGCGTAAGAAGGAGCAGGAGCGCTGTCAGGTGCTGATCGACAAACTGCACGAGGAGGAGAAACGCCAGAAGGAGCATGTCGACCGAGTGCTGGCCAGACTCAAAAAGGTAATAGTGTGCCGCCTGTCCGTGGTCTAAAACGTAGCACGACCCGCCAACCGCCGTCGCTGGGCCCTGTTGAGAGGATGGAAATATTTCTGACGGAATGTCAACTCTGCCGTCGAGTTGATTTTATGCTTACTGTTCTGCGCCATTTAGTGTTCACGTTTCTTCTATTTATATCTAGCATGAAATCTGCATGATGATGCTGTCTTTTAGTATGCAGTAGCAATGTCTGAAAACCCATCAGCTTCGTTAATGCAATAGGAATGAAAAGAATGAAAAGTGCTGCTGAAATTATGACTTCCGTTCCTTTCCATGAATAACGACTATGATAAAAAGGTCGAGGCATTCGCAATTGCCAATGATGAGCCGCACGTCATTTGGCTGTGACTCATCCGAACTAGGCTGGTAATGAAAAATTCCGTCATGGGTCCTTTTCCAGTTGGAAGTTTCACGAGAAAAAGTGAGTGTGGAAACACTTGTATGCTTGAAATGGATCGATTATAATTTTACACTTCTTTCCGGATGTTTGCTCATGCACATTGCACACAGACATGAGTGTTTCGCAGATTTATTGTGCAAATGTCACTCCGTCTGACATCATCCTGCACGGCGTTTCGCAGCTGCTTTCAGTCACTCATTGTGCTGCTTCTGCTCGTCATTATGGCGCCCCTTGGGCGGTTTTTAGTATTGTAATGCCCACTGCGCTCCCCGGCATGACTTGAATGTCGTGGAAGCTGCATTTTACTTGTTCAAGACTGCTTAGCTTAGGTTTTAAAACACGATACCACTGGCCTGGCATTTTAAGGGCGTTGCTAAGTGAAGTCTTTGAGTCTCTGTCCAACGTTAAAAGAAAGGCTTAATTCCGGTGATGAACTCAGCCTTTCCGATGGTACCTCATGATTCTGGCTACACTTTCTCGTTCACAAACCACGAGAACTAGTTGGGGAACATTGAAAACCTATCCAGTGTAAAGCTATATCGCGAAAAGCCTGCTATGAAATCTACTCCCCATTGTGATCAGTGCCCACTAGGGGACGATGATTGTGTTTCGCCCTGCTCTGGAAACATTGCCTGCTGCCAACGTTATCCAGAGACCACTAGTCACATATAATTGTCATGTGAATATTGTCATGTGAACTGCAACACTCAATTGGACATTCTTCCAAACTACCTATGTCATACACTGTGAGTCCCCCGCTACAATCTGCTCACTCACCCTCCCCCTCGCCCGCCCCTCAGGAGAAGGACTCGTGGTTCGAACCGCGCCAGGCCAAGTCGGCCAAGACGGAGACGATGACACAGTTCGTGCAGATGTGTCTGTTCCCGCGCTGCGTCTTCACCTCCATGGACGCGCTCTACTGCGCCGAGTTTGTGCGCACGCTGCACAGCCTGAAGACGCCCAACTTCTCCACGCTCATCTGCTACGATCGGGTAAGGTGACAATTTGAGGCGCCAGCCGAGTCGCGTAATGGCGAGTCTTGTATGTTTGATGGGAGAGGGGTTACCCATATGAGGGAATGGATTATCGTCTCCTTGGGATGATGCTCTAATGCTTGTCTGGGTAATTAGTCATGTTTCATTGCGATGCCAGTTTATATCGTTGGAATGTCCTACTTCTAGGGCCGTACACTATGTCCCCTTGAAAGGTTTGGGCTTCCAATATAGCAATATACCTAATCCGTAAACATTCATAATCTTAACGACCCATGGCGCACCTGACCGCCTCTCTCCCGTCCTCCCACACAGCTGTTCTGCAACATCACCTACACGTTCACATCGTGCACGGAGAACGAGGCGTCCCGCTACGGTCGCTTCCTGTGCGCCCTGCTCGAGACGGTGATGCACTGGCACGGCTCCAAAGAGGTGTTCGAGCGCGAGTGCGCCTTCTTCCCGGGCTTCGTCACCAAGTTCCGCGTGTCCAACAAACAGAACGAGCGCAGCGACCATGTCGACTACGAGAACTACCGCCATGTCTGCTTTAAGTGGTTCTACAAAATCACCAAGGTCAGCCCGAGACGCGCTGACGACATTGTCGTGGCCCTGACCTGGCTGAGTGTCGATTTTTCTCTAGCCTACTTGATATACAGTATTTTAATAAATCTTTTATTACGCATACCCATATCATGTTCAATGTGCGATCATGCTTGCTTAATGGTTTTGCAGGCGACCGTAACCTGCTACTGACCCGCCCCAAACTTACCGACCTGCCCCTGACCTTTGCTGACCTCTGTTGACCTGCTCCTGACCCGCAGGCGATCGTGACCTGCCTGGACAGCCGCGAGTATGTGCAGATCCGGAACGCGCTCAAGATCCTCATCAAGATCCTGCCCTGCTACCCGGTACTCAGCCACGTGGCCAACATCGTCGAGAAGAAGGTCGAGTCGGTACGTACTGGGGAAGTCATGGATAAGCCGATGCTCGTTACTCAGGCACGTAGCCAGGATTTTGCTCAGGGAGGGGCCACAGGTCGCGGGCCAGGGTCGTACCCCCTCCAAAAAAAAACTCGGATTTGGCCCACTATTTTTGGTGGTGTGGTGCAGCTATTTTTATCTATTTTTATTTTTTACTTAATTTTGTTTTATTTTTCGCCTTCAGGGAGGGGGGCATGACCCCCGTGCCCCCCCCCCTGGCTACGTCCTTGTCGTTACTCAGTTCACAGTCGGCGGCCTCTGCGCTCTGCGGAGCGGACACATTGCACAGGCGATTATTTCCTGTTCTGTAATGTATCAGCCGAATACCCCGAACTGATATCACCTTCATTTACCGTTTATTTCTCATCGTGCTTAGTGAGGATGATGTTATTTTTGCCGAATCTGTGTAAAATGCTGTTGCCTTTCAATGTAGGGTAACCAAGAAGGGATTGTAAGTGACTATCGGAGCATGCTTCGCTGTTCTGCCAAATAGCGTCATCTGCTCCCAGATATTTGACCTCGTGACCTGACCCGCCCCGTCCGCTGCCCACAGGTGATCCAGGCCGAGAAGAACAAGCGCCAGGACCTGGCCATCATGGCCACCAGCTACGCGGGCCTGCTGCGCGCCCGCAAACACACCTACATCCCGGAAAAGGACTTCCACACGGTCGACAAGAGCAAGGCGAGTCCTGGTTGGCAGCAACTGCACCTTTGTTTCATGTGCCCTTGATTGGGTGCCCTTGACAAACTGTTGAGTGACTAGTGATCAAATCTGTCAGCACTCAGCAACGCCAAATACCTTGGTGGTGGGTCACTCCTGAGGTCATTGTGAAAGTTTGTTCGGTTCTAAGCTTATCATACGGTGCTCTACGAGTCCGAGTATTTATTTGAAACTTTCGAGCGACCTAGAAGTGTCAAGACTGAAAAGATGACCGCCATAACAGACACTGTCCTTCATCAGCACTCTTTCTCACACCCACCCCGGCTCTCCTCACAGAAGGCTGCTCCGCCGGCTGCCGCCGCCGCTCCGGCCGCCACCAAGGAGGCGACCAAGTCGACCAAGGGAGGGGAGGCGGCGCCTGCCGTGGCCAACGGCAGCGTCAAACATGGTCAGTTGAAACGCCGTCACCGGCCGGCGATGGGTATTGGGTAGGGTCTGCTGCATTATGCATAGGTGGGAAGATGCTTCTGTGAGATGAATTCTGAACAGCCGACCATGGGGAAACAATCTGATAAGGATTGAAGAACATGCTTTTTGCTAAGCATGCACAAATTTGTCTGGGTTTTGATCTGTATTTCGGTCCTGCCTTTATTTACAGAGCCGATGGACCAGGATCGGCCTTCGCCGCGCCAGGAGACGTCCTACCGGTCAAATGATCGTGACGAGAGCACTGAGCGGCGAGTCAAGAGGGAAAGTCGGGGTCGGGACCGGCTCAGAGAGGACGGGTGAGTGGGATTGGTCGGTCTAATCCGACACGCAAGCCTCCCCGTGCAGTTGTTTCCGTAGTGTAGTGGTTATCACGTCCGCTTCACACGCGGAAGGTCCCCGGTTCGATCCCGGGCGGGAACATCCTTTTCGACCTTGCCACCTCGCTGGGTGTTCGCATTGACGTGGGACGAGGTCACCGTTGGACCTAAAGTTCTGGCCCGTCCAAATTAACATCGGTCGAAACACTGTTTGTTTTTGCTCTTCTATTTCATGCCCTGTTCACGCCCAATGAACGCAGAAACGTACCGACCGACACAGCGGACTGACCGGCCCCGTACCGTACCCACAGGGACCGCAGTCGGTCACAGACGCCGCGCTCGGACAGCACGCCCGTCTCGGGCCGGGAGCGGAAACACGACACGGAGGAGCGACGGGAGCGGAAGGCCGCCAAACGCAGTCCGCCAGACGACGAAATGGAGAGCAAGAAGGTAGGAGTGAGCAGAGTGATCACTCATTATTCCATCTGATTAGCGAAGACTGAGGGCTTGTTAATCCGTCTGAATTGAAACGTTTGGTGACATGCGTGGCTAGATTGTTTGTTGATTTTGTCGATACCCTCCTGGCTAGATTGTTTATTGATTTTGTCGATACTCTCCTGACACGTAAGTCAGGTCCCGGCCTCAGCAGATATTCGCCAAGGTGTCTTTATTGAACATTTTTCCTTCTTCTCTTCTTCTGTAGATATCGCACCGGGTGGAGCGGGAGTCTGACGAGATCCGTGTGGTGGAGGACGAGTACTTTGAGAAGCCGCGCCGTCCGCCGGCCTCCTCGTCCCGCTCCGCCTCCGAGGCCTCTGACGTCGACAGAGGTGAGAGGGCTACTATACATGAGCTGGTGGGAGACGGGAAGCTTGATCTTGGTTACATACATTATACAATGGTTATAGTAGGCTGGATTTTAGAAGGGAGATTGGGTTAGGATGAGTTCCTTTATGAATTGCAGACTCGCCTTTTTTACGCATGTCTTGTATTTATGTATGTGTGTATGTATTTACGATCATGGGCGATCCACACATGGCGTAGCGATTTGTCTTGCGTTAAGCTGCGGAAAGTATGCGTTTTAACACGTAACACTCATGATTGCGGTTGATAACTAGTAGTTATTTTTAGTGATGTGATCCATGGGTCACCGGTAGTATCTCGTCAGCTTTTTGCAGTGTATCCGTTTGTGACACCTCGCGTTCTGTCTGTTTCAGATGCCAAGCGGCGCCGAGTGGAAACTAAGGTTAGTATGATTGACGTGAGCTGATGGCCGCGGCCGGCTGCGGCCCGGCTGTGGCCGCCGTCGCCGCCGCCGGCCGTCACGCGCCGCTCAGGGGGTGCCGCCGCCGGGCGCGACGACAGCGCCGCCGCCGCAGCCACCACCATCGTCGAAGTCGCCACAGCAGCAGGATTCGGCAGGGATGCAAGAAACAACATCGTCGTCATCGTCACCGCGGCCGCCGTTACTGTCGGCCTGACATCCTCAATCCCTGCTGCTGTCGAGTGGGGCGGACGCCGCACCGGCTCAGCGCGACCGAGCGTGTGAGAGAGAATCCGTGAGAGAGGAGGCGTCATCGGTGTGTTAGAGAGGTGCCGCGCGGTAGTGAGATGGACAGAGTGCTGGGAGAGCGGCAGAGTGCGAGAGGAGGGCTGAAAAGGCAGAGGACGCCGAAAAGTCTGCCAAGTGGAAGACGAAGGAAAGAGCGTTCATGCGGTTAGTTCAAAATGGCGAGGCGTGCTATTCGAGCCGTTGCTCGATCGCTAAATGAAGTGAATTGAGAACATTCTTCTTTCGGCTGTGATACGAGATCTTTCTTCGGGTGTGATTGGGGGCGGCGAATATGCCCCAAATGGCTCAAAGAGCCGAACTCTTGTTAGTTTTTGTCGCGCCTCTGTCTTTGGCGCTGGCGATCAATACATCCTTCCCAGAGAGATTTCTGGTGGAGCAAGGCATAAGTTCAGACAAAGAATGTGCTGAGGAGCAAATATTCTTCAGAATGTGTTAGTTCAAAGTGCTCTCAGGAATACCCCGGTCATCTTCTTCACGAAGCGTGCCTCCATTGTGAGATGTTTGTTCGTCGGTGCCTGCTGGTTTCTCCGTGGCCAGCGCTGCCGGTGGGTGCGTGTCCGCCGGCGCCCTCTGCCGTCTCGGGTTCGTCCGTCTCGACTCCATTCGTCCGGTTTGGCGTCTCTCCTTGTTCTATGAGGCATGGCTATTCGTGCCAGGAGAAGCCAGACAATCGTGCTGGTGTCCGTATTGGACCACAAGACATCAGAGAAGCTCCATCTGCCGCGCCGTGGTTTCTCTCGCAGTACCGCGGAAGAGGTGCTGACGGCTCCGACAGGGAATCAAGAGCGCTGCATGCAGCTCTGAGTACTCCATACGCCGTGCTGGACCCTATCTCTGAAATGGGCGAAAATGTTCCTCGAGGTCTCGGGCGTCATGTTGAAGCGCCATGAAGATCGCAGTCGCTCTGGAGGGCGCTGTAAATGAGCTGATCTGCTACCTGTCGATGGGAGTTAAACGAACCACCTTGTCAACACCACGGTTGTGTGTTGCTTCTGCATCTGCTAACCTGGCAAAAGAAAAAACAACACGTCTGAGGAACCAGACGAACAAGATGCCGCTGCAAGCCAGGCGTCAAACTCCAGAGAGTTTCCAATAACTCTATAGAAAGCCGCTCAGTCTGTTCAACTCAGAAGTCCATCAAAACGCCAAATCAACACCAATCGTCTCCAATCTGTCTGGAATCAGCACAGTGCGCTCAATCAGCGCAGAAGTCATCGAACAGCACTGTGGCGGCCGGCCACCGCGCGGCGCGTGGCGCGCGATCGATCCCATGAGTGGTGGCTCAGCACCGCCAGTCTGCTGTCACAGGTATTGTACAGCGCCCCATCCATCCCTAGCCCGATCCCTGTCCCTTGTCCTGTTCCATCCCTTCCGGAGGGCTCTGGGGCCCACCTCCAACGCACCATCTTTGAGCCGTAGATGTGTCTGTCGTCGCTCAGTATGCTTTAGTGGTACTGTCAGTGCCGATTGTATGCTTATGTTTTGAGGCAGAGAGCTTGGCTGGCTTCCCACGATGTTTCTCGTGTTTAGTGGTGTAACGGTTGTGGGGTTAGATTGCTAGCGATGAGGGGCAGGACGCCACGAATTGGGGTAAGACGCACCGCTCTATTTGATTACAGAGGTCCGCCGAAAAGGCTCCCGAAAAGGACGAGGAGAAGAAAAAGAAGAGGAAGAAGGCCGACAAAGGGTTGGAGGAAGGAGAGATCAGGAACAAGCGGGAAGAAAAGAAAGATAGGAAGCGGGTAAATCAATGGTTTGGTCGCTTACATAACATCGCTCCCTCATTATATTGATCGGTCTTTTATGCGATATTTACGTTATTCTTTCAAGGTGATTTTTATTTGAGAAGTCACCGGGGACATATCCTTCTTGAAGCATCAACTCATCTATTTATTGGTAATTTCATTTGATTTGTTTCTTTAGTAACGTCTTCGTCGCTTGATTTGTTTTATCCGACTCTGTCTGCGAAACAGGCGACCGCTAGCGACAGAGACGTCTCTCCAGTCGACCTGAAGCGCAAACTCAAAGAAGAGGAGAAAGCCGGTGAGTTCAGTGATCATTATCACCCGCAACTGATGCTCCATATCTGATAGAGTTGCGCTTCGATACTGTCCATTAAAATGGCCGAGGCGCAGTCCCAGTTTCTTGCCTTTCAGTACCTATGCCGCGAATAAGTCTTGAAGACATATTTAGTACATCGTAAGCTTGTTGAATTTCTCGCGCCTAATATTGTAAGTTGGGAATCACAAACCCTCAATAAATAATCGTCATTATTTAAATTGTCCAGCATTTTAAATGCAGAAGCATGTATTTTCTCATATTTTTAGGTGGCTTCAGAAGGCCGAGTCGCTTTGTTCGGGATACTTTATTATTGCTGCTTGTTTAACAGATTCGTGGCACTCATAGATACTCTGGTAGCGTAGATGCATTCGTAGAGATTGCTTCGTCGAAGGTGAAACTATCCAGCGACCATCAATATGCCCGCGGTGGTAACTGGTGAGCCTTTGAGATGTCAAGATTCGGCAGTGTGTTTATGTGAAAACAAATCCCTCCCACACAGTAAAGTTACGTAGCTGATGTGGTCTGAATGTATGAACGTAGCAGCGTAGATGTCTGGGCGGTCAATCGCGGTTGGCGTCTAGGCTGTGCTGCTTGTGACTATATCTGGGCCGAGCGGGTAGTGTGCGCTCACAGTACTGTTTTGTGTTTTCACTGCACTGTCTGTGTGTCCACCGCCGAGCGGATGGTGTGTGTTCCCAGTACTGTTTGCGTGTTCACTGCACTGTCTTGTTTGTCCAACGCCGAGCGGGTGGTGTGTGTTCACAGTACTCTTTTGTGTTTTCACGGCGCTGTCTGTGTGTCCACAGCCAAGCGGCGCTCGGAGGGCGAGCTCGAGTACAGAGAGGTCAAGGAGAAACGACGGACACGGGTGAGATGTGATTTCCTAACTATGAGTCTTCTCTATATATTACTGACCGGGCCGACGAAATTATTTGGAAACGAGGTTTGCAAAATTGACGTAGGCCCGAGTGCGAAGCACGAGGGCCGGAGTCAAATTTTGCAAACCGAGTTTCCAAATAATTTCGTACGGCTGAGGTCAGTAAGATTTTTCCTACATGCCGCATACCTGCTAAGTAGTTTCGGCAGGTTCTGGTGACACTTTTATACAATTGTTTTTCCCATAATTTCCGAACAGTGATTGCGCTACTGCTGTGGGTAAAGCTTTAAAGGAAATTTATAGAAGAAAATGCATCAAAATACCTCACTTCAAAAAGAATCGCGTCTGAAAATATCAACTCAGAATGGCACAACAATTGGATATCCAAGGAACATCATACATGAATAATTTGCCACGACATAAGAACAAGAAGAAGGTAGAAGGTATCAATATTCCTAGTTTAAACGTGAATTTTCCAGTGCTCTTGCAAGAATCTTTTCTTTATTTATGTAATCGTACTTTGTTGATGACCTATGGCTAAACTTTCGTGAAATATATTATATTTTCCATATTTTACATGTTTGTTTCGAGGAAAGGACTACAACTGTCAAATAATAACGCAATAACTTAGGCCTAAAGTATCAGTGGACATATCAAACGAAGATAAGAAACAAGCGATAACGGATTTCGATTAATAGGAGCATATCTTGCCATAATTTCGGCTTTGTAACCAATACAAAGTATTTCAAAACCCATGATAAACAGAGCAGATATTTTTTTACCAAAAAATGTTAGTTTTCTAATTTTACGCGGCAAATATCATCCAATAATGATGTCAATTATACATTCCCTATAAATTATACCTCTGGGCTAATGCCATAAACTGTAGTTTAGAGGTCATTGCCCTGGGCAGTAAACCCGGGCAGTAAACTTTTGTTTACTGCCCGGCCTATCAAATAACATGGCATTTTGACACCGACAGTTTCTTGGTCATAGTTTTACTGCCCGGCTCGTGCTGTGCTTAAGACATACCCCGGCATGTAGGAAAGTATGTCTTCTGTCTGTCGTTTGTTCTGTGTGACCTGGCTCTCGAAGATCCGGAGCCCATCACTCATGTGATGGTTTCGCGTGAGGCATACGGTCTCATTACAGTTTTACCGTTCGGGAAGCCGCTGAAAGGCCGATGTCTTCCGACTAACCTTGTCTGAGTTTGCCCCTTCCTCACATTATTTCGTTTACTGTCTCTCGATGGTTGAAGAGTATTTATCATTTGTTCAGCGGCAGGCCCTGTCGATCGCTGGCTGGCCGGTTTTGGCAGTGTACTTATCTGTTTGGCTGTGTCCTGAAATTCAGTCTGGTCCTGTCTGGTGACGTAACCGCGCTCAAAGACGGCTTAGCGTATTTTCAGACATTGGCACATCAATCGATCAGCGTTTAATGCGAGTAAAAAATGTCATGACACAATACGGATTTTGCCTATGTAGTGATTAGCCAGCTTTGGTTTTGAGCAGCAGTTGCAATGTTGTTGGTATTTATGGGAGTGGCTTTGTCGTGGCTGGCTGTGTGCAATGCTTATCCCCGTGACAGGCGACCCAGAGCTGGATGATCTGTCGTTAGCCCCAGCCAGCGATAGATCATCCCTTCGTGTTCTGCCCCGCTCCTCCCCGTCCTGTCTCCACACATCCTCCCATCCCACCCAGCTGTGCCCCGCCCTGTTCGCCCGTCCCGTCCGCGATCCTGCCCCGTCCCGTCCCGTCCGTCTATCCAGCTGTCCACACGGGTCTGTCGGCTGTGGTGAAATGACTGGTCGGTGGAGCCAGTCCCGTTGTCACCGTCCCGGGTCAGCCACGCTGTCGTACAGTGCTGGGGGAGCGGTCACATCCTGACCTGGCTAAACAGACAGCTGTTCAAACCGAGAATTTCTTCATCTGCATTACTCCGGTTTACTTTGTTTGCGGTGACACGTTCTCTTGTTCATCTGTTAATGACTGTCAACACTGTCCGCTAATGACTAATTAGCGTTACCCATTAAGACGTCTGTCCACTCTAGTATCCAATCCACTCTGATGCCTTGTCTACTTTGGCGTCTATCCTGGTCTGACACCCGTCCACTATGTGTACTCTGACCATACGAGTACATCTATCCATAATGACTGTCTGTCCGCCTCAACTGTTCCGCTTTGTCACAGAGGTGTCAGGCCTGTCCAGTGTTGGCTCTTTCCACTATGGCGTATGTCGACTATGTAAGTATGTATATCTACTGACTCTCTGTCCACCGTTCCACAGCGTGAGGAGGAGGTGGAGTACTATGACGAGCCGCTGCCTCGGTACGCCGCTGACGACTACGACTGGGAACGAGAACGACCCGTCAAGGACAAACAATATCCTTTACTACAGCAGCGGAGAGACGCTAGGCTCTAGTGGGACTGTGGAACGATGCTTCGGGAGGGACATGGGTGATGAACAGGTTTCGAAATGCGTACATGAGTGACACATTTAACCCGCGCCGGGCCGGTGCTCTGAGATTCCGCGCCGGGCTGGGGGCGGGGGTGTCTGAACACCCCCCCCCCCCTTCTAACTCGGCTCCTGGGCCACGTAGCGACACGCGGTAAGCGGCAATCGAAAGAACGTCCAAAATAAGGACGAAAACACTTCAGTCATTTTTTTGGGTCAGGTCAAAGGTCAGGTCACCAGAGGTCACCAAAGGTAAAATGTTGACTATTTCAACATTTTGGAAACTGCCGACGGCTATCTCGGGAACCGATAGAGCTACAGCGCCGCAGAAAAGCGCATTCGATAGCCCTTTTACAGACATTTCAGAGTAATGTTCTCAGATTCAAACGGTTTAACCTCCAAGTGTTTAGCAACGGTTTAGCCTCCAGAGGGCAAAAACTCCAAAAATAGCCGTTTTTACGAAAAACGTTTTTCGGCAATAACTTTTGACTCAAGTAAGCCATGACATTACTTTTGCCAGCATCGTGTTCCTCTCGTCGAGACGCGTCGAATGAACTATAATTTGACCTTGAAAAGTCAACTTGAAAATTTGACATCAGGTCAAGGTCCATGACCTGACCGGAAAAGGTCATGTTGCATATCAGTCGATCCGCAACGTCGAGCCTAACACATCTAAGGCGTTTTTAGCGCTCTAGCACGCCTCTATCAGAAGTTATTAGCGAAAAACCTAGATTCTGTTCGTGACCTGAGATGACCTCGGGGACATAACGAGGGGTCACAGTTGCCATTTTCCGGTTCAGTGTGTCAATCTTACCTACATCTCGATGTCTGAGAGTGTCTAGAATAGCGTTCGTGCAAAACAGACGCTTTTCAATTTTCTCCCATTGACTTATAATGGAGAGGCCGCAAAATTGACCTGACCTTAGGTCACCGATATCAAAATTCCGAGATATACGTTTTATAGATAATGCTGCTCTAATCAATCGCTGAAAGTTTCAAGGCAATCGACCAATCGGTGCAGCTATGACGAGCATTCTTATTTTTTCTGAGGTGAGGTCACTTGGCGTGACCTGGTGACCTGACCTAAGGCGACCTGGGTCTGAAATTTTCAGAACATGTGCGGAAAAGCGCCGCCGTTTTTTAGATATCTGCGAAAACCCGCAGGGGGGTGTTCAAACATCCCCCCGGCCCGGCGCGGGTTAAACGCTCCAATTTTTGTTATAGAGTACGAGTACATATAACTGGCATGTCTTAGTCACTGTTTAATCGATTGAGATGAGTAACATGGACCCGAGTCTGACCACTTGTTTTTCATTCTCAATGCATGGCGTTAGCTGCTTTCGTAATGAAATCCTTTTAATCTCCCATATTGTGCAAAGTTGTAATGCCTGGTGAAAGTCACGCGTGCAACTTTGATATAGGCGATGTAACTATTTTTAGAGTCTGGAGTGCACTGTTCTGACACTTTGTTAATTCTTGCCGGCCTTGGCTTTGCCTGCACTACATTGTGTGAGGCACATCGCGTTCGCTTCAGTTTCGTCAGCTGAGATTTTGGAACCGCTAGCATTACTCGATATCACTGTATTTCAGGGTTTATCCTGTCCTCACTTACCAGTCATTCTCCCGACTTTCACTCAGCACTGTGTCTATGCAAGCGCATGCCTGTGTCCATCTATGCTCGCAGTCATTTTCCTTAACCGCGCTGCACTAGGGGCCGTCTGGACACAAAGCGACGCTGATGCTGATCCAGCTGCCATCGATGCCTGTATTTCGTGGCGGCGGAGCTGGCGCAATGGGGACAGATCCTGCGCAGGTGCGCCTGTGCTGGACTAATCGACAGCGGTCCGTCGAGGCGCTTTGCGAGCTGTTCCTAGCCCACCCGGCGAATGCTGTGCAAGTGAACTAGACAATACCGGGGCCTCGGAATGACCTGGCAGTGACCTGAGTGGTCGTACCTAACCTGACTGGGACCGGCGGACCGAGTCGGATGGTAACCCATGTGGTAGAACTTTGACTGAGGACTGGCGGGCTGAAGGACTGGCGCCTGGGGTGACCTGCTGGACGGGCCTGTAATCGGATGTACCGGACGGCGGTGGTATTGCCGACGGAACGGTAGAGAGCTGACGGCGGACACCACAAACCAATGCACGCTGAGCTGTGGAGAGCGTCGCCAAACATCGTGTTAATAATGCAGTTCATTGTGAATATACCGGGACATGTGAGCTATGTGTTTGTTGCTGTGAGATTGAGGCAGAGACGAGGCATGTCGGTCCGTAACAGTGACCCAATGGACAAGGGAAGTTCAACAGTAGCGGTGGTCAGCTCAACCCGTGCTTTCGGCATATTGCTTCAGACTGATCTTCACAATGCATTGGATCTTGTTTGGAGCATGTGATAGGTCATGCGATTTTTAGTATGCACCAGTATTGTACAATGCATGTGTTGTACCAGTTGTAAGTCGGATTTAAAAGTTGCTCTCTTCCTGTCACGAAGGTTTGTCCGGTTAATGTTTGGCAATCAACTAGATTCATGCAACACAGATAATGCATGAACATGGTGCAACTGGAAGAACATCCTTTGCATGATAGTCGTGTCAAAAACATTTTTTCGCCGAAGATGTTTCGTTGCAAACCTGGTTTCCTTCAAGATAAAATGTGTATCAAGTCGGGCTGTATCAGCATTCAGCAGCAGGCGCTCAGATTATATGACCGAATTATTTGTTGTGATAAAAACAAATAGATCCCTGTCGATCTTCAGATCAATGCCTCAAGTAGTTAGTTGGTGTTATCTGCGGACCGCGTAGGCTCGATCATCATGATTGCAATCATATTTAAACCTGCAGGCTATAGATACCTACCTACCAATCGCCGATATTTTGTTCATCTCCTCATCACCTAGTCTCGGCAGCGGACAGATGAAGACACGTTTCCACGACACCTTACATCTCCACTAATTGAGTGTCCATTGTACACCGTCCATCGGCCAGTGGTCTGCTGTCTGCTCACCACCCAACCCAGCAGTGAGGCAACTGAACAGGCGCTCTGGCGCAACCCGCCGGACTTGCTGAAATCTCAGCACAGTGTCGGACCGGCGCGGCGGAGATTTTTGAAACCTGCCTGCTAAGTGTCGTTTCGCGTAGAGGCGAACCGCCGCTCGCTGTGCCGGTTGGGCAGGTTTTGCTTAAGGGGGGAGAGGGGGGGACGGGACGAGATAGAGAGTGAGAGTGCGCTCTACGGTCGCGGCGACGGCTTCATTCCGAGTCTCGGGTACGGGGTCAAGTCAAGGCCGTAAGAAACGGATGCACGTGCGTAACCCATCACTCAAACGCGCATAGTTCGGCGCGTAAGTGACTATGAATGGCGAGTAGTGACGTCTTTCGAGAGACGTAGTGTCGTAAGTCCCCCCCCTCCCCCCCAGATGGATTAATAACACCTCTGTCATATGAAGACTCGAGCTGACGGCGAAAGCTACAACGCACTATTAAAGTCCAGGAACACTCGGGAGCTTTGGCTCGCGCTAAAATGAAGGGGATGGCGTTTTCCTGCGCACGAGCGAATATTGCTTTTGATCACTTCACGTAACGTCACCGGGTCAAATGAAGTAGCTTCACTTCAAGAAAAATGAAATATTCACCCTATGCTAAGACGATAGAGCCATTGTTTTGAAACCTTCAGTACCTAATTCGTAGTTGTAGCAGATGTAAGAAACGTTTATCTCGTATTTTCGCTTATATGACCTAAGGTCAGGTCAACTTGGTGACCTCACGAGCCACATGATGATAAGTCGTTCCGACAGACAGCACTTTATGCTGCGTGGAGGAGGGGTTTCCAGCGTACAGGAATGTTGACCTCTGGTCGCTTCAGGTCAGGTCACCAGGTCACGTGAAGTGATCTCTTCTAAAAAACAACAATTTTTTACTAGCTAGTAGCTACACCGACGAAACGATTGTGATTTGAAATGTCGCTGTTTGCAGGGAGGTGCAAACGTAAGGAAAAACATTTATCTCGGATTTTCAATTTAAACGAACGTTACTTACGTCAACTTATAACCTTTATGAGCCACCAACGAAAGGTCAACCCGACAAAAAAGCGCTTCACCTTGCCACATGGCTGCTGCTTTGGGTTCGCAAACACGAGTCACCCCACCCCTCCCCAGCTGCTCGTGCCCCAGCCGTGATGCCCGGCTCAGAGTTGCCAGTCGCCGCTGCCGCCACATAAACCCACATCTGGTATACCTCCGCCGAGAGACTGGCTGAGCTCGTTTGCACCGTCCGGCCTCGCCGCGGAAGGATTTGGCAGCCTCCGGGAGAAATTTTCAACAAGGTCGTGGGCACCACGGCAAACATGTCCGCTTAGGAGTTACGTAAAAACACTCACACCAAATATTCCACTTTCACTGCCAGTTCCGTCTCATGAGCAGGCTGAAAAGTATCGGCTAAAGCGAGAAACATGAATTTTAACGATCAAGTGCAACGCGGTTTGGTTGATATCAGATAGGTATCCACGCGGCCGAATTTGCAAATTAGATAGGTATGTATGTGTATAAAACACAATGAACATGAACAGGCCGTGTGAGATTTGACTGTTGCAGATCAGAGAGCGGGAAAATGTCTGACCCAGAATGCCAACCACCACATGGTGCATGGCTATTCGAACTCGGTCAGGAGCTCGGTTCTTGGGAAAGTATTACGACACGCACTGTCAACATTTTTCACTGGACATGAGATAATTAGATGATCGATTTAGAAATACAAACAAAGGAAGCGTTACTACTGGAGTAATAAGTTGACGTTGAAAAAAAAATATGTCGTCAGGATTAACGAATAAGTGCACACAGCTGCAGGGGCACCGGGCACGTGCCTACCGCCCAGACTGGCTTTCATGAGTTTCACGTACTGCGGGATTTTTCGAAGAGGGCGGTTTCAAATCCGACCGGTGCAACATCTACGGTTAATTCTGTTGCGCCATTCTATTAGTCCCGTTAAATTTTTAAGTGCACCAAGTTTTCTAGACAATGCTTACCTACACGTATGTAGTTTGTCCCAGTTGCGCAGCGTCACCGACACAGAAAGATTATTTTGTGGCCTGGCGAAATGATAATGGTCGAATACCTATAAATAATGCCATTTATGTGGATGTATGCATATGTATTTGCTGGAAGAAGCCGTTTAGGTGAGAAAACACTGCATTTGACCCTCGCTGAACCTATTACTTTTCTAGAGGTATACGGTTACAGGCTACAGCCAGTCGGCTTCCGGCCGAGAGGAGAGGCGGGTATACGACCCCCTCGACCTCCGACTTGAGTCAAAGCGAACGGTCGAAAATCAATGGGAAAAGAGGTAGAGAGAGGTAAACACTGTAAAAAATAATAACACATTATTAGCCGTTACAAAACGCAGCGATTGTTATTCAATTTTAGCAGGAAACGATTGTTTTAAATTGCATAGCGAGACATAAGAAAGCGAAATCCGGGAAGCTGGATAATTTTTCCGAGGAAAATGTACCCCTTCCCCCCCCCCCCCCCCCCACTGGATCTCAAGTGACTTCTCTGGATCCGCCATTGTTCCAGACTCGCGAGCTCAATTTGATTGGAAAACTTCGATGACCTAAAATGATCTTGGCTGCATCATAAAGGTATGAGGTAACGCAACGTACATAATTATCTGCATCAGACTCTCCCTGAAACTTGAAAGTTTCAGCGCTCCTTTCAAAAGGTTCCTGCCCCTTGCCACGTTGCGAGGCTGCGACATCTTAGGACCATGCATTATTTCGTTGCCTAAATTGGTGAGTGAGCTGATCTGAAAATGCAGAGGTGATGCTAAAATATCCTGTGTGAAACAAATGCCATGCCTATACGATGTTTCAGCTCTCATCACCAACACGCGTTCCGAACAGTCGTGCAAAAAAAAGCCAGGGGTGGACGGTGGTATAAAGACACGCCCCCCCCCCCCCCCCCAGCGTACGCCTAGGCGTCCTGCGTCACGCTTTTCCAATTGCTGACCTAATGAAGAAGGATTTTGTTAACGGTGTTTCACTACAGAGTCAGCTTTGTGACGTCTTTGTAATATCTATATCACTTCTGCAGACTGCAAGCCATAAGGTGGTATTTTCGGATTGTGAAAGGCTTTTGTTGTCTTGCACTGCCCTCTCCTCTCTTGCGCTGAATTACATACCCTGGCGCGGGCTAGAGCAACCCGGTACTGCCTCTCGAGTTAGCCTCCTCCCCGCCCCCCAAACTGCAGACAGCTGCAGACCTCCCGTTCCACCAGCTGGCTGCACGCAACTGGACCCCAGAAGCACCTGCGCACGGCTCGCCGGGCTACCGGTGCGCCAGGTTTGCCGGTTCGTTGAACCCCGCGTGACATGCAAGCTCCACGATGCTGAGGAAGTTAGATTGTTTAGCTTTATGGAGACGGTGTGACCGATCACAACAGGGTGCATCAACAGCTTATCCCCGTTTACAAAATGTTTTGATGAAGCCTCCGACCATAAATAATGATATAGGGGAAGGTAGGGTAAGACTGACCAGAAAAAGTTTACATATCTTGCTACACTGCTCTCTAGCCTCATATTGTTTATAGCCTTCGGAATGTTTAAAGGTAGTGTGCCACCTTTGAAAGATTTCCCATTTTATTTTTCCTAGGATAAGAAGCTTCTGTTTTTTCTTAATATCGCAAAGAAAATCAAAAATGGGCCTGGAATAGTGCCTTTTTCGCCTAAAAGTTTATCGGTTTTTCGATATGTATAACAACTGTAGTGGGCTGACCTGCAAACAGGCGTCGGCATTTCGGCAACAATCGCGAATGCGGCGCACATGTGACAATAAGCAAAGGTCATTATAGAGTTACGACGTACGGGAATGAGTTATCAGCTGTCTAATCGTAGACAACACAATGTCGAGCCTTAAACTGTAAGCCTGTATTGGTATCGTTTCTTTTATTTGGCTGTCGAACATTATTTATGGTTTGAAATATGATTTTATGTAAAATAATTGATATGAAAAAGCCGTTATGACCCCATTTCACCACACTTAAGTGGCAGAAATGACAATGATCAGCTGACGCATTTTTCTTGGCCGAAGTCAGAGCGCGCGGCCCGACGCACCACCACCGCACCACAAAGTATGAGCAGAAGCCGCGCCCAAAGCCAGGGCCCCGGTAACGTGAGGTAGCCGAGTCGGGGCAGCGTGCGCTGACCCAAGCCGGGGCCGCAGCTTTGGGCGC